GCGCCAGAGCCGGAGCCGGAGCCAGAGCCAGAGCCGGAGCCGGAGCCAGAGCCAGAGCCAGAGCCTTCGCCAGCACCGCCGTTACCAGCGCCAGAGCCAGAGCCAGAGCCAGAGCCAGAGCCTTCACCAGCACCGCCGTTACCAGAGCCACCATTGTCGGGACCGACACCACCGTTACCGCCGTTGTCAGGACCAACACCACCGTTACCACCGTTGGTAGGAGTAGAGCCACCACTTTCAGTGTTGGTAGGGTTTCCGTTGCCACCGTTACCAGTGTTAGTGGGGTTGCCGTTGCCACCGTTACCAGTGTTAGTAGGGTTGCCGTTGCCAGTGCCGGTGTTGGAAGGGTTGCCGTTGCCAGTGTCGGTGTTGGAAGGGTTGCCGTTGCCAGTGCCGGTGTTGGAAGGGTTGCCGTTGCCAGTGTCGGTGTTGGAAGGGTTGCCGTTGCCAGTGCCGGTGTTGGAAGGGTTGCCGTTGCCAGTGTCAGTGTTGGAAGGGTTGCCGTTGCCAGTGCCGGTGTTGGAAGGGTTGCCGTTGCCAGTGTCAGTGTTGGAAGGGTTGCCGTTGCCAGTGCCGGTGTTGGAAGGGTTGCCGTTGCCAGTGTCAGTGTTGGAAGGGTTGCCGTTGCCAGTGCCGGTGTTGGAAGGGTTGCCGTTGCCAGTGTCAGTGTTGGAAGGGTTGCCGTTGCCAGTGCCGGTGTTGGAAGGGTTGCCGTTGCCAGTGTCAGTGTTGGAAGGGTTGCCGTTGCCAGTGCCGGTGTTGGAAGGGTTGCCGTTGCCAGTGTCAGTGTTGGAAGGGTTGCCGTTGCCAGTGCCGGTGTTGGAAGGGTTGCCGTTGCCAGTGTCAGTGTTGGAAGGGTTGCCGTTGCCAGTGCCGGTGTTGGAAGGGTTGCCGTTGCCAGTGTCAGTGTTGGAAGGGTTGCCGTTGCCAGTGCCGGTGTTGGAAGGGTTGCCGTTGCCAGTGTCAGTGTTGGAAGGGTTGCCGTTGCCAGTGCCGGTGTTGGAAGGGTTGCCGTTGCCAGTGTCAGTGTTGGAAGGGTTGCCGTTGCCAGTGCCGGTGTTGGAAGGGTTGCCGTTGCCAGTGTCAGTGTTGGAAGGGTTGCCGTTGCCAGTGCCGGTGTTGGAAGGGTTGCCGTTGCCAGTGTCAGTGTTGGAAGGGTTGCCGTTGCCAGTGCCGGTGTTGGAAGGGTTGCCGTTGCCAGTGTCAGTGTTGGAAGGGTTGCCGCTACCGGTTTCAGAGGATGACCCAGTGTCAGTGTTCAGCACGTTACCGTTGCCAGTTTCAGAAGACGATTCAGTGTCAGTGTTCAGCACGTTGCCGTTGCCGGTTTCAGAAGACGACTCAGTAGCCAGCGAAGATTCAGTGTCAGTGTTCAGAACATTGCCGGTGTTCGATTCAGACGACGACTCAGTAGCCAGCGAAGATTCAGTGTCAGTGTTCAGAACATTGCCGGTGTTGGATTCAGACGACGACTCAGTAGCCAGCGAAGATTCGGATTCAGTGTTCAGAACATTGCCGGTGTTGGATTCGGACGACGACTCAGTACTGGACGAGCTTTCAGACGAGGGTTCAGCCGAAGAAGATTCCGACGACGTAGGTTCAGCAGAAGACGATTCCGAAGAGGATTCTGACGGCGAGGGTTCAGCCGACGACGAAGTTTCCGACGACGAAGTGGGTTCAGCCGACGACGAAGTTTCCGACGACGAAGTGGGTTCAACCGACGACGAAGTTTCCGACGGCGAGGGTTCAGCCGACGACGAAGTTTCCGACGACGAAGTGGGTTCAGCCGACGACGAAGTTTCCGACGACGACGACGACGAAGACGAGGTTTCCGATGACGACGACGACGCAGTCAGGGTAGGTGGTTCAACGGTCAGCAGACACACACCACAGTTGGCGGGAGCCGGGTTGGGAGGAGGAGCGTTGTACTTGATGGCGTTGCGGAGAGGAGCCGACACCCCGGCGAACAAGTGGGAGACGATCTGGAAGTTCAGGTTGACATAGCCCGGCCCAATGACGAATCTTTGGGGCAAGGTGTTCAAGGGACCCGAGTAAAGAGTCAAGGTACCGGTGCCGGCGTTGTAGTTCCACGACAAGATGGGGCCGGTGAGACCGATCACGTTACCGTTACCGAAACCAGCGACGGTGTAAGGTTGCGGGGCAGTGACCAAGAGCGCCAACAATTCCGAGGTGGGGGCTTCCAAGTACCAGGTTTGGGTGGTGTCGACGGCCAACAACGGGAGGTTCAATTGGGCCAACGAGTTGCCCAAGATGTGCCAGCACCCGTCACCCTTGATGGCGGTAGTTTGGAGCCAGATCTGGTTGTAGAGACAGATGTCACCGTTGTTGTTCAAGTCGCCGAGCACTGCAGGCCCGAGGACGACGGCGCCGGTCGACCGAGTCTGTTGGTAGATGGAGATGAGACCGTTGTTGTTCCATTTCGACGACGTGATCGATTGCACGGGGGGAAGCAACGACCCTTGCGAGCCGAAGAACACCTTACCGTTGTTTTCAAACAGGGCCCCCACGAGGTTGTAGGTGGGGGAAGTTGCCAGCAACACCGAGTTGAACGAAATGATCCCGTCGTTCTTGATGCTGTTGAGGACACCCAAGAGGGTGACACTCAACCCGATCAAATTGTTGTTGGAGGTGATGTAGAAGCCACCGCCCGAACCGACGTTCAAGCCCCCCACCAACGCCAGGACGGCATTGTTGAAGATCAGGTAGTAGACATTGGGGGAGATGTTGATGTCCCCGACGGACAAGTCAATGGTGCCGTCGACGACAGTGTCTTGGGTGATGTCGAGCCCCGAGACGGACGCGGCCACCGCGAGCAGCGAAACGAGCGTGCTGATCTTCATCTAGGGATGGATGACATTATGAGAGGCGACCTGGTGTCTTATATAATTGACAAACTGTGGGTACGCGGCGTGAGTGAAGTCAAAGATTTTTTTAGCAGTCGGGCGTCGTGAGTGTGTGTGGCCGCTAGACGAGACCTGCAGCCTTGGCGAGCAGCAACAATGGCTATTTCGGGTAGTAGTGGCAGTTGGCCCGCACAATACGGGTAGAAGGACGTTCCATGCACGGTGGCAAAACCAAAATATTTACCCCGTCGAACTGAAGACGGCGACACTGGTGGAAAAGTAGGCGACATTTTGCCATTTGGTGGGTGGTTTTCGCCGGTGATGAGTCGCCGCCATCAGCAACACCGCACGGTGGCGGCTTACACAACAAAGACGCACCCAGATTACAATGCGATCCATTGTCGAGGCGACGAGCGCCAAGCAGTAGCGTTGACGACGAGAGACGCCGCGAGGGGAAGGAGCCTGCAAAAACCACCTACCGGTTGCGGCAAGCCACATGGGGCCACCGAGTGACGGGGTCTAACCCACCTCTTGGCGCTGGCGTTTGTGTAGTCCCCCCCCCCCACCTTTGTCCCCCAGCTGCGGTTTGCTAGAGGATGCGCTAGTCCGATACGAAGGTCTGCATGCGTTTCCAATGTAGGTCTGCGTCGCGCGAAAAATAAAAATAATTTTCGCAAGCGACACGACCCTCACAGGGCGGCGGTGGCGGGGGTTATCGCCGCCATGGGCCTCAACAGTGGGGGGCCAGGCACCACGGACAGTTGCGGAAACCCAGCAAACTTAGCAACAGCAAGTAACAGCCGAGCAGTATTAGGTTAGCCGCTCGTCGATTCATCTCATCGGCCACAGCATTAGCCAGCATCTGAGGCGTCGTAGCGTGAATGGGGGTTGTGGTCGTAACTGGGGCCGAAATACGACGCTAGCCCGGTCTAGAACGCGCAGCGGCGCCCTTTGTCTGTTTCCACTCGCCTAATCGAGCTGCCCATCCGGAGGGCAAGGCAGTTTATGTCAGCGGGGAGTCACGCAGCTTCCCCCCCATTGTTAGCGCCAGACCTCATGTCTTTGTTATGGCTAGAGAGGGTGGGAGTGCGAGACCGAAAAAATGCTTAGTGCGAGCGAGCGTGTTTTCGCAACTGTGTGCAGGAGGCAATGGGATCGCAATATAGTCTCAACAATAGCTGTTGGCTCTAACAATAGGGCTGATAGTTAGTCAGCGGGCAACCTACGACTACAGCACGTATCCCCCCTAAATAATCGCTGGGGCTCGGGTTTTTTTTAGCCCGAAGCAGCTTCGCGTGGTGCCAACGCTAACAGGGTAATTATACCCCATCGATCGCCGAAATAGGGTTTAGCCCCTCCGATCACATGCCTGGAGAGGCCTCGCCACATGAAGGCGACATGAAACGACCACCAGTCGGGGCGGGTGGGTGGCGCCATTGTCCGGAAAAGCAAAGAGACTAAAGAGGGAGCTTAGCAGGGAGATAGGGCTTGTCTGCAGTACGAGGCCAAAATTTGTGATAGGTCCCACACGGCAAGCGCGATGGTGCGGGGAAGGGGAGCAGGTAATTGCGACGACGCTCGCCCCGCCAGCGATCGACAGAGGAAAGATTTTTTTGTTAATGAGTAGTTTATTAAATTTGAATGGTTAGTTTAAACAGGGTTTGACGTCGGGTTGGCTGCCGGGGATTGGCAGGAGTGGCATGTGTCGGCCAAACCTAAATGAGGCAATGCCACAGTTTTGTGACTATTTTTCTGGCGGTTGCGGCATCTGGCACTGATACGAGAAAATATCCGTAGATACATCCCCGTTAGTAAAACCCGGCTTCGCCTCCCCCAGTGAGAGAACAGCACCATATCACCGGCTGTGGCGTTGTAGGGCAATGGAGCCTGTGAACAATGTAGACGCGAGAAAAAGATAAATACCACGGCGCAGGTGGTAATGCCAAAACAAACGGTACAGGACCCTGACAATGGCGCCTGTCGGGAGCTATCACGACGTGCCGAATATACCAGGCGCCTCCTTAAACGAGCTGAGGCCCGAAGTCCCAATGACTAGAAACGGAGACGACACACATACACACCTTCCTCCAGCAGCCCACGTAGCGACTGCTGGGTGCTATTTTATTTTATCGTATTTGCTGCCGCCGTGTTTTTTGCCCCTATGGCGTCTTTGAGTTATGTTCTTGTGTCCCTAGCCACGTCATCTCGCCTGGGGTTCGGGCCAATGCGAAGGTAGGGTTGTTTTTCAAGGTTTAGTAGGGCTGCAGCCGAAGGCAACAATCGGTTATTGTTCGCGAGATGTGTGGCCGCCACCAAGGCGTAAACAAGACACAACGTACACCGACGTAAACACGACAAAAAGCACCGATAAACACAACACCAAACCGTGTCGAGGGGTCGAGAGTGGGTCGGACACAGAAGCACAGGGCAAATGGCGAGGTGTCGCGCCCACAAAAACTCAAACTTAAGCGACGATGTAGGAAATCGACCCGGTCGCAACCGGTCGCGATCAGGTCATGCTGCTCGTCAAAAAAGCTGGTGGCCCCTAGGAGGTTGGTTTGCTGTTTGGGTGAGCAACTATAGCGGCTAGGAAAAGTGTGTGTAGTTTTTGACCCGTAAGCCTCACTGCCAAGGGCTCTCGGCGCAGCGACATTTGGGTGTGGAGCAATATTTCCGAGCAAAATTCCATATCGCCAGTTTTCCGGTACTATCAAATTCCCCAATCAACCGCCAACAAATGCCCTCCTAGACCTCGAAACCAATGAAACTGGAAGCTCAACGGTTCACTTATTTGCCCCAATGGCCCAGCCGAGGCCCGAGACTAACATTTTCAGCAATTTCTCGCCGGCCTGGTGCGAGTGAGTGGTGGCGTCATTCAAAAGAGACAGAGCCATCTGGTTCACTTCTCCCGTCATTTCCGCCAACGAGTCGACCTTATGGGTGGCAAACAGAGCATCGGTGACCTGTTGGAGCACTTGAGGAGGGTAGAAGGAGGCAATGGCGTCGTCCACTTGTTGCCACTGGCGAAGCACTACGCGCTGGGAGTCGTTAGTGGCGTCCATCAGGGCTAATACTCGTCCGAGCACTTGGTGCTGCTTCTGTAACACGTCTAACGAGGGGGATTCAGCGTTGGCATCGACGTATTTGCCCACCTGGTAGAAAGTAAGCCAGTTGGTATTGATTTCCTGGGGCAGGTAATAGTCGAATAGGTTGGTCAGCTGAGTGTAGGCCCACTGGAAGTTGTTATCAGCCAATGCCAGCTCAACACACGCCGCCTTAAGCTTAGGGAAGTAGCCGTGCTCCGGTTGTTGAGACAATTGCAGCGCTCCACTGACACTACGGGAGTGTCCCTTAGCTCTCTTAGGCTGGTAAGTCAGTGACTGTTGAGCGTAGTCGGCGTAGATGGCGAAATCGTTAACAATTTTGAACAATTTGTCGAAGCCAAGGTACAGTTTCGGGTTATACGTAAGGATAAGCGTCGCCACGGCAAGGGGATCTTCAGTAAAACGAGTAATCAACGTCTTGGGAGTAGTGTTGGGCGGTAACTTGTAGTTGGACATCATTCTGATCAGTTTCATCAAGTGTTTCGCGGCAACTGCCTGTTGGTTACTTTCGGGCAGCACCTCCAATCCCTTGGAACTCATGTAGTCAAGCACGTCGAGACACTTGCTAGCATGGGCTAGTTCACCCTGTTTATCGCTGAGAGAAGTGGCGGTGCCAAACAGGTGCCAGAACTTGTCAATCACCAAATCGAACCAGGTCTGGTCACTGACCAATTGGCGGTGGTGGTCAAATAATTCCGAGGTGACCGCGTCAAATAAGTTAGCAAAAAGACACCGCTCAATCACTTGTTTGTATAGGCGGGCCTGGTGGTCTAAATCAGGGACAAATGCCGTGATCAATTGGTCGGTAGCTTCCCACCAGTGGCGCCAGGTAGTCGGGGTCAAATTCAGCGTAAGCCGAGCGACATCACGGTCAATTTGCTCCTGGGCCTGGCCCTGTTGGTATACCATCAGTTTGCGGATGTTTAACAGGCACGTCAGCGACATCTTTTGGCAGTGGCGGACGAGATCGGCGAGATACTCCACGGCTTCAAGCAGCGGCGGCGAAAACGATGATCTGATGGGGTTGTTAGGGTCAGCGATGAACTCAGGAAGTGTAGAGTAGTCGATTTCGTCCACTGATACCGTGGGAGCGGTGATGGGGTTACCCGACGGTTTCGTCATTTTCACCAATTTCGCCAACGTCAGCGCCATGGTATCGTACACCGTGACGAGCTTATGCGATGACAACTTGTCTCCTTGTCGTTGGCAGAGGGAGAAGTAGTACGCGGCGGCCAAGTAGCCCTCGACGACGGCATCCAGCGCGATTTGCGAGTCGACAAGCACCGCAATCACGCGGTGGAGCATGGCAAAGTAGTCCACCACCTCCTGGCCACTGATGTAGAGGGTTTGCTCACCGAATAACCACTGACAGAGCGGATTCCAGTCGTCGCCAAAATAGTGGGCTACGGGGAGCAATACCTGGCGTAGCCACGCGTCGAGCGCCACCGGCTCTCCGTTGAGTGGTTCCACAAGCGTAGTGAACACTGTTTGGTGGTTGTGACGTTTTTCAAGGAATTTTTTGAGGGTTATCGGGTCCTCAGCGTGAGTATGGTAGTAGCGGAACGGCACCAAAAGGCCGTGGTATTGGCGATTAAGGGCTTCATTATCAAGAGCCAAGTCGATAATCGGGACCATGCTGTTCACGTCCAGCAGATAGGCCAGATCGTGGGTCAATTTCGCCTCGACAAATGAGGATAACGAGCCAGTGAAATCGTACTGATTTTGCGCTGTAGTAGCGATCTCGGCCATTTCTGGACTGTCCCACTGTTTGTTAATGGAGATATCATCAAGTTTAGGCAATTGGTCGAGCCACTGGCGCAATTTGGTGGCGGGGGTCAGCGCCGGAAACGTATAGAGAAGGAGGGCACAGTACACCAAGTACGTCCATTGGGAAGTATTGGCAGGCACGTCCTTGTACTCGTCGGTGTCGCTGACATATTCGATGATCCAGGTATCGACGTCGGCGTGGCGCCGGTGGCTGAGGGCGTCGACAAGCCTCAAGTAGTCGTCCATGGCCTTAAGGGTCGTGGGTCGCACCGCAACCACAAATGGAGGCAGAGAGGGGACGAGGCAGAGAATACAATACACGCGTTCAAGGTAAAGAAACTGGATCTAAGTGACTTGTATGAGGTTTCTTGGCTCCATATTTGAAACATAAGTGGTTTCAAAGTCAGTTGGATAGTCTATGCTATAGGGGTGTGATTCAGGTGACGTGGAGGTGCGGCTGACCCCATCGATGAGACTGTCATTGCTGAAAGTGAAGCGAGTTTTAATTAACTGACTGAGGCACTCATTGTGGATGAAATCATCAGTGAAATGGAGCTTGTTTAACTCATTATGTTAGTGCTTTGAATAAGAATTGCTTTCAATAGGAGTCGTCAGTACACACTAATCCCACTAGCTTGAATAGATAGGAGCAAAGCAACAGTCTATCGGATATTTGGCTTAATTGGAGCCGTTTGTAGGCTTGGTGTCACTGTTAGGTCTAATCAAGAATACTATGGCATTGGGATCAGTCATAGCTTATATCACAGAGATCAGTCATAAGCCTAGAAACCATAGGCTAGAAAGTTACAAGCTACAATTTCAAAAGTTAATAATTCTATCAAAGGCTTAATTGTTAGAAATCTATCAATGTCTCATTGGTTAACCGTCTACTATTAGCTTAATTGTCACCACCACTACTTTCTTTCGCACGGTGGCGACGCGCTCATTAACCACCACACCCTCGATCCTACAAACCACACCATGCTGGACGCCCACGCAGTTGCCGAGTTTGTTGGGCTCACCGGGGCCTCGTCCGACTTGGCGGCCCAGTACTTGCGGCGCAACCACAACGACGTGCGGGCGGCCGTCGACGACTACTACGCCACCCAACCGTCGACTACGCCGCCGCCTGCTACTGCGGCTACCAGTCGGTCCGGCGGCGGCGGGGTCCGTACGTTAAGAGATTTCGACTCTGGTACATCTAGAGGAGATGACGACGAGCGGAATAACCTATTTACCGGTGGCGAAAAGCTGGGGTTGGCGGTGGAAGGGCCCGACCGCGGTGGCAACAACCACAACGACCAGAGCTTGATTGACCAGATCTTCCGCCGAGCACAGGAACAGATGGGCGAGGCCGACGACCGCCCCAGTGCCCAGCAACCGCAGCTGCTGTCGCGGGCTCAGTTTGTTGGCACTGGGTTCAAATTGGGAGATGGCACCGAGCCCAGCGAGCTGGTGGCGGGAGACCGGGTCGAGCGCCCGGCGAAAGTGACGCGGGAAATCACTTTCTGGCGTCAAGGGTTTACCGTCGGCGACGGGCCATTACACCGCTACGATGACCCGGCCAATGAAGCGGTACTCCGTGAATTAAACCAGGGCCGGGTGCCGGTGCTGCTTCTTGACGTTGAGTTTGGCCAGGACGTCGATGTCCAAGTGTATAAGAAGACTGAAGAGGACTATGTGCCTCCCAGACGTCGTCCCGGTGGATACCACGGCCAGGGCCACCGTTTGGGGTCTCCCGTCCCCGGTGAAGTCATTGGTGTCGAAGAACCAGCTCCCACTGACGCTACCTCTTCTTCTGAGGCGGCCACTGCTCCTGCTGATCCCGAGCCTCTGGGGGATACTCCCGTCCAGATCCGGTTCGCCAACGGTAAGAAATTGCTGCACCGCTTCGACAGCTCCCAGCCCGTGAGCGACGTGTACCAGTTCGTCGCCTCTCACGCGTACAACGATGCCGCGGGGCGTGAGTTCACCCTCAACCACGCCTTCCCCGTCAAGGTGATCGACGCCGACGGCACCGTGGGCGACGCCGGGTTGAAGAACGCCGTCATCGTCCAGAGATGGAAGCAGTAGCCGTCTCGTGTAGCCGCTATTTAAGTAATGTCACGTCATGTCGATTTGTCAATGCCTGTGTCTCTGTCTCTTCCTATTCTGGTATGTCTGATCCCAACGCCTTTTCTTTTACTTGCCGACGTCTACAAAGTAATCTGACGTCGCAATCTCCGTCACCGGCGTTGACGGGAGCCACACGTCGAAGCGTGCGTTTTCACGATTCTCCGTCAGTCGCCAATACAGGCATTGCTCTATTGTTCACAGTTGTAACGTGAGCCTAACAATCGCAGCCTAAACTACGGTTTGACGAGGCAGGGCGAGATCACAGGCACGATGCCCCCGTCAATCGCCCTTGCGTCGCTGCAGACACGGCCCCGTTGATCGCGTCGTTTTTGTGGACAGTGGCCGAGATATAAGCTTTTAAAATATATCGGTGAAGCGAGGACTCGATCCTGAGACTACTCGTGGTGGATATCGCGGCCAGTGTCATTTGGTGAGAATGGTGTAAATTGTGGAATATAGGCCAATTCATGTGAAACTATCAAAATTCGAAAACCGATCAAATAAAAGATCCGCTGGTGTGATTCCTTACTTCTACACTTTATTGAAGAGACTAATCGTCACTTCATGGCACTAACCGTCGTTGATTGGTTCTGGCAAACATCGGGTCTACTCCATCAACCTCTTTATTGAGCCCTATGAACAAACCTTTATTTGTGATACTTGGTATAAAATTAATTCCATCTATAGCTAGCTCGTTTAATCGAGACTCGATGTTTGATTATCATATTTATTTAATTTACTTGTATTTGCCTTACCTAACATCTTACGTAACCGGGGCTCTTCGCGGGGGTCGCACTGGTAGCGTCTAAGGTCGCGAGTCGGCTCAAACAGTATTCCAAAAGTTTTACCCCCCCTATCTCCCTTCTACGCCGATAACTCGGTTTTTTCTCCCCTTCCGTCGTGTTATATGATGCGAATAGCGCGATATAGCGTGCTACGACGACGGCCGTGGCTACGGTGGTGGCACACCACGCCAATGATCATGGGACTACCAGGACGGTTTATTCGGGGTTATGCCATCGATATCCATCAAAATACCCAACCTACCACTTCATTGGCACAGACGATTGAGGCTATGGTCCACCGGGGACCCGATTTCCTCGAAATACCACCAAATACAGGTACTTCTACGGTGTCAGTGGACGAGGGTGAAATATCGTCTAAACTGGCGGAAAACCTGATTACCGAGATTGTTGAGGATAACTATACACTACCACCGTCTCGGGGTTCAATTATCGAGTACTATACCTGGGGGAAACCCTCGAAAACCGTCGGTATAGTTGTCCGCGATGTCCAGCTGAAATTCAACGAAAACTACAATACCGTGGTGGTTTTAACTCTGGAAAACGAGCTCGAGTTTGTTTCGGGCCAGCAGGTGACGTTCCACTGGCACCAGGTGGTGGATAGCGGCTGGTTGGCGTGTGAGGCGATTATGGAAAACCGCTTCAACACCGAGTTTCCCCTAAGAAAACGGGCCGTTGCCATTACCCGATCGTTTATTAAAGGCTTGGAGACCATTCTGAGTCAGTTGAGTTACGAGGTGGAGCGCACCTACGCCCAATACGCCCAGTCTCACCAGGCGGTGGCGGTGGGGCTTGTCCAGATTTTGGAGAGCTGTAAGCTTCCAGAGCTGGTGTTACCGCTCTTATGGAAGTCGTACTGGCACCAGCAACTTGTGATTGGAGGTCTCTACCGCGCCGTGTGCCGCCTGAGCCTGTGGGTCGTCCCCTCTTCGGTCGTTTTCGGGCCGTTACTGGCGTGGCACGAGACCAATTGTGGGTCTCGGGGTTGTCTGAACGAAGTGATGAAACGGCCAGTATTTCTTGCTAATCTGGTGGAGAATACCGCGGCAATTGCCACGCTTAAATGTGATTTACAGCAGGAAGAAGCGCTTAAATCGTACCAGAATTTCATTAAAACCACCGTGAATAACTTACCCGAGACTAACCGAGTGTCCCATTTGACGGCGTGGTTCGGTATCTGGGACGGGAAGCAGTTCCAGCCCCTTTTGACGGCATTGAAATTGGTGGCGATATACCCCCATCCAGAAGTATCGGCGATGCTATCTCAACTTGAGCCGTTTAGCGATGGAACCCAGGCGTCGGTCCTCCAGTTTCTTCGTCTGATTGGCTTGTATTCCGATAAAACGGATATGTGGCGCAGTGCCTCGATGGGGGGCCCCCTCGCCAACATGGCCATTGTCGTCGACCGAAACCAAAAACAGATACAACAAACCAATACTAAGGTTGTGGTTGACGACTTAAATGACAAGTTCCGTCACTTGCGCCAGAAACACCGGTTTGGCGATGCTACTCCCATTTTCGTGGTTCTGCCTGGGGTGGGAGTTTCGCTTGAAAAAGTCAATCTGCGCAACTACCGAGTCAATATCCACGTCCCCGACGTCATGGCTCGGTTGTGTCCCAATCTGGACGAGTTTGATAGCATTTTGGGGGTGGAATCGCTGTCGGTGTCAGAAGTGCTTACTCGGTTTAAATTACACTTTCAGGCTCAGGGACAACTGGAAGGGGTTGATTACATGGCTGCACATCAATTATGGCAGCAGAAACCGCAATCGCCGACCCAGGCGACGTGTATGACCCTCTCATTGGCCTATAACACCTATGAGCTGAACCCGTTTAAAGACGTTGAAAATAAAGCGGAAGTGACTCTCGACACTCTTGGTGCTGCCACGATTAAGATGCTTTCAAAAACTGAGCTTGAGGAGTGTTTAGCGGGTAAATTAGAGCCGAGTCCGTTGCGGCTCTTCCGACCACGTGATCCACAACCACGTAAACTCTCGCCCAGCGACTGTCACGACTTACGCTTCATATACCTGGTACTCCAAACGCATTTTAAGACGAGAAACCACCAGGGGGCATTGATGGTGGAGCCTCCACTTGAAGGGATTAACGAGAGAAGTAACCTATTCATTGCCGAAGTGGACCAATTAGCATCAACGATCGCTTCATCGTTTGCCCAGAGGAACCAGGTGGCCATGGTCTACCAAACACAACAAATCTTGGACTCTTTAAGCTCGGATTCGGTGGTGGTTTCGCACCATAATAACCAGTTTTTGCCGCAATACCTGGCCCAGCTGTTTTACCAGACGCTTTTAGCACGTGACCACAGAGGCTACGTCTCCAAGCCGGCAGAAGTGATTGGCAATCAATTTTTGGCCTCCCCCAGACTTTCAGTGGTGGGGGGGATGCACCAGAGGTATGGTAGTAGTGGGGGTTATTGTGCGATAACTCAAGGGCAAGCAGTGGCAGTGCTCCTCAACCAGCTCCAGTTGGTGTATACCGTCCACCACAACTTCCTCAGGGGCAATACCACTAAGAGACACTATACTTACCTCAGGGGTTATGGCTATAGACAACTGGCGATGCTGGTGCGGATGGTGCTGGCGCTTCTAGCTCAAGTCCAACGGTGTCATGACCAAATCGAGGCTGGGAAAAGGGCTAAACGGAGCTCTATGGTGGAGGTCGACGAGGTGGGGGGTGGTTCTGAAGTGGTAATCACCCATGGCGGCCAGTATCTTCGTGAATTAGACCATCGGGTTCTGATGGGATACCACTTGAGGATGGGTCATGAAGTGATGGTTTTAACCAAGAATGATGTCATCCACCAGTTGGGAGGAGTGGTGGAGGTTGAAGAAGCCTACCGTGACCGGTTTGGCCGGTTTACCGTCTTTGTTGAGGTGGAGTAAACCAAGGCTTATTACCATCCCAAAACTAATCACATCCAACAATGACGTCATCTTAACAATTAAGGGGATATATCCAGTCATTTCCAACGGCATTGGAGACGATATTGAGCCGTTTGACGACTGTGGTTGGCCATTCACAAACACAGACACTACGAATATGGAGACCAGAGGTGGCTGGAGGATGCCACCACTACTATAATAGCAAGACTGGTCTGAGGCCTTCAAAGATTGTCTCAGGCCTTGTACATAGATCGAATATTAGCATTACACGAACATTTCTTTCCGCTTTTAATTGCGATTTACAGAAACGGCGACCAATGAAACGACCAGCGCTCTTTGGTCAGAGAGGATTGTGGTCAGAGAAGACGTGTTGCTTAGACGTATTGGCAAGGCTCTATTAGGTTTGTATGGTCTGATGAGGTAATCATTTTACCCGATTGGGAATTTAGCGGCTTGCTGTGGCATGCGGCGCAAACGTTAATTTTGTAGGGTGCTTGGTAAACAATTAGTTAAGCGATCTACATTTCGATATATCCCCCACTCAAACCCCGAAAACACCCCCCACAAGCCATATTCCGACCCCATAAACCCCATAAACACTGTGGCTAGTATATCTGAAGCGTAAGTATTTGGCCATTTTTCGGATTTTTTTCGGAGACTGGTGCCGCTACCAAGGAAATCCAAGGAAAGTGTCGGGTGGTGCTGCCGACACTTTCCTGCCAGTGTGGCCAATTTTCCTACGAAAAGGCGTGGCAACAGGCGGATTTTTGCTTTTCCGGCTGCCGGCCATCTCGTGTATTTCCGTTATCGTTCGGCGATAGGAACGGGAACGTGTACTAAGCCCTTAATTGTCTCGAGGGTTGCGACGCCTGGGTAATAACGATCGGAATCCCGTGGAGGCGGCGAGCCCTAGGAATTAAGCTTATAATTTTTATTATCGGGCGATGATGACAATTTGCGCGATGACGTCATCGGTAGCTTCAGCCGGGGAACCGGCTAAACGGCTAAACCGTTCGAAGCGTCACCCAACACGCCGAAACGGAAATCTCAGACTATTTCGGCGCCGATAATGGGTTAAGCACTCACCTGATTTTAATTGGAAGTCATGTGTGGCACAGTTGAAATTGTACTATGTATCACGTGCTCGGAGCTTAGCCGTAGACACTAAACGCCAGAGTGAGGGGCGGCACCTTCCTCCCTCACTAACCCCTCAGAGGGCCTGGCCTAAAAAGGTAGTGGCGATCGGTTTCGGAGTTTGGTGCACTCTCATCGTTGTTGAGTCTCCTGCATATAACCAGGAAATGGCCCATCCGCGGAAACATGCTAGATGGTTGTGTGGTCCCCCTGGTACCATCATGCATGGAACCCCGTCTGTACACATCAAACACCCGGTGTGTCAGACATACACCATGGCTTAACCCGGATAAACTGAGAAGAGCAATTGGGGCTAGAATTTGCTTGCGATGACCGTGAACGTGGCCAGTGGTGGCGCTACCAAGCTCGTTACGCGCACTCATTGTCTCCATTTCCCTCTCCCTACCAGCATCGCCAATTGCTGCAATCGAAGGCTGCGACTGAGGTCGAAACAGGCCCAGTTTCCGGAAACAGCAGCGGGCAAAAAAAAAAAAAATTCGCTCGTGTTTCGGAGCCTGTTTCGGAGTCAGCTGTAGCATCGGCGAGATGTTTCGGAGTTCCGTGCAAGGCGGTGGCGAAATACGTAGCCCTAGTTTCCTAATCCTCCGATAAGCGTTAGCCGCGGAAAACGCCAGCGATGACCGATCGGAAATGTGGCAAACTACCACAACCACAAGTTTGATGCTTGAAACTTGAACTCCTGTAACAGTTTAGGTGTTTCAGGGTTTATTTTTGAAACGAGTTGTGGCGGACGCCTGGCTGCCGCCGCGGGTCGATTTAGCGCCCCGTGTCACCTCTCCCCTCTCACCCTCCAAGAAGGGTTAAGGATCGCCGCGAGTATATCGAGTATTCGGCGGAATCCGTTGTGAGCCCCGGGCCAAAGTATGTACCAAAAAAAAAAAAGTCTCGTACATGGTGCATGAGATATTATCAGAAACTGCCGGGATATCATCGCCAGACTCCGGATTCGACAATAAGCGTTATATAACCCTGCCCCAGTCCCCGGTTTGACGTTTGAGATTCCCAGATTCGATTTCCATTGCATACTCCCCATCACATCTACCTTGGGTTAACCTGAAACACCAAACCCCGTGATACCCCCCCCTCGCTGGCCTTTGAAAGCCCAATACTTCCAACCAAACCAAACTTTGAATTTTTGATCCAAATCGACCCAAATCGTCAAGGAAAGTCATCTAATCAAGGTTTAATTGTTTCAGAACTTGTTTCAACCCTTGTTTTACACCTTGTTTTATGTTTATTATCCCGGAATTCAACCCCCAGTTGGACAGCCACGACCTGCCGCTAGCGTCGGTGGCGGCCAACATCATCACCTACCAGGGCCGCATCAGAAACGTCTACGACGCCCTCTTGATTTTGGAAGGGACAAGACTCGACATCCTCCCCACCATCAACCGGAGATTAACGCCCCCCGAGCGCCAACAGTACATCAAGCCGAACACCATCTTTGTTTGGAATGAAACCAAGTGCGGGATGAAACGCTGGACCGACGGCAAGTTGTGGCTGGCGCTGAAAGTGTACCACGGCCAGTTTTTGATTTACAAGCAATTGGATAAGGACAAAAACGTCATGCCCAACGGGCTTATCAAGCAGCTGTTTCTGGTGGTGAATAAGCTTAACCACCGCCTCCATTTGATCTGTTACTATCGCCATGACGACCAGGCGCCGCCGCGGCGGCGCAAGCGCCGGCGCGTCGCGGCGCTGGCGCTGGGTGAAGCGCTGCTGGCGCTGCTGGAGCTGGACGACGCCGACGATGATGACGAGATTAGCTTCCCCGGGGTGAGCGTCCCCTCGGAAGACGAGCGCTTAGCTCACCTAGAGCTACTGAGGGAGATCTATTCGGATACGTTATTGGCAGAAGTGCCCAAGCGGCGCAAATCGCGGCGCCCGGCGCTGGCGCTGGCGTTGCTGGTACCATCACTGTCGGCGCTGACGGCGGCGACCCCGGCGCTGGTGGCGCCAACGACAACGCCAATGCTGCTGACGCAAACGACGACGCCGATGCTGCTGACGCTGTCGGTATTCTCGGCGCTGCTGGCGCTGAGTTGTGGCACCACTCCTCCGCCGTCGTTGGCGCAGACACTTATGATGTCGCCGCCGCCGGCGCTGGTGGCGCTGGTAGCGCTGAAGCCGCGGTCGCCGCCGGTGCTCCCCGTGCCGCTGGCGCCAGGGTTTCGCCAGAAGTACTCGCAACCCGAGGCCTCGGCGCTCCAAGTGTTGGACCGCACCTTCACCGCCTAACCTGCAAATTTTGATACTATCATCACCTCATGACCGTTACGACCCCTCTTAATGGTGAAACAGGACCCCTGTTTCACATTAATCCTATTTATTTATATATTTATTTTATTTATTTATTCAAAATAGCATCACTGACGAACTGACATCGTACACTATCACTCAAACTTCTCTACATAAAGTTGAGTTAATTTTTGCGTCATTTAAGATACATTCGACGTCGGGTGGTGTCATCAGACAGACGCCTTGGCGGCGAGTGGTGCGCCGAGGATAAATCTCGCACTGCGAAACCACACCTGTTACACACACGCACCGGGCCGTCGTACTCGTATTCCCCCGGCAGAGGAGGTTCTAAATGACTTATCGGGTAACAAAGGTCAATGGGTGCATGGTGCTTTTACGGTGTCTACAGCTAGGTGAAATCGGGGGGCTTTTCGATGTGATAAGCGGGCAGATAGAATTTCGAGACGACGACGACGTTTCAGTAGTGGTTCCATAAGTGGTGATGTTTCACCATTGGTTTCATGTTTACGGTAATGAACTTGTCAATTACATAAAAGTTAGTCAACATGGGACCTACGCCAGTTGTGGCTGAGTCGAGGACCAACTTTATTTAGGCTTTTTGGTCGTCATTTCAGCTTGAGGTACCCGGTAATGTGCTTAGCTCCGAGACGATCGCGCATCATGAGGTAATTGGTAGGGACACGATCATTTAAAATTTCTAACTTAGTCAGGCTACGCTAACCACCACCACCGTCCAAGCTTGCCATTATACCTATGATCAGATTAGATCTAACCAATGATCATAAGTGACTTGTTTCAGGATACGTTTCGATAGTGATGGCTGGCTTGTTTTAGGGCTTGTGTCAGATGCCGCCTCAAGCGATGAGCGGATCTACTTTCCCAAAGTAGAAGTTAGGTGCGTGGCCCACCATCAAGACGGTCTCCGACCATATTTACCAATTGGGAGGGAAAATGTGGCCTCACGTGGGGTCGGCGAGTCGGCTGTTAAACCGCCACGGCTATTCCCCGGTTAGCCCACACACACCTGTCCCCTCGCACCCGGCGGCGCCCGTCCGACGTCACCAGTGCAGCCGCGGGCAGGTTCCCGGCGCCGCCGACAGCGTCAGCGACAGCGACAGCGCCGACGACAGCGACATGGCGCCACCGTTTAAAAACGCACTTTGACACGCATTTGGAAACACGCCCTGATTGTCGATTTTGAAACGGACCCACACGATAGCCGCGGTAAACGCGATCGCGGCGAGACAATCGCTAAAACAATGTGGTTGATTATCCGAACGCCAGATAAGGTAACCCGACGCGTGCCCATAAAACGGGGCATCGCCAATGCCATTTTGGACTAACACTATTTTCTGTCCAATGTGGCTAGTGAGTCTTGGGCATTCAACCAATCAATGATGACCAATTGAGATCAATTTAGAGTTTGGATTAAGCTATAGTTTACGTTGTAGAGGTAGCGCTTGTTTACAATTGAGAGACGCCGTAGTGATGATACCATCGCTGCGGTCTATTGTTCTGCTAATGGTACCTCTAAGGCGTGTAATGGAAAGACATGAAAAGGTGGCTTAGCCAGCTGGCGTTCCTAATAACCGTGGAAAATGTAAGACACAGAAAGAGCCGTGGGGTAGTTTAATTGCCGATTTGTGGAGACTTGTTCAGTGGAGATATTTCCCCAAAAATGATCTGGCGTATGGGAAATTAGGGTGCACTCGGTAATCGAAAGTCTCGATGGTAAAACACCTTTTTGGATCAACAGTTGCAATTGAAACCTTAATTGTTTTTGTGCCATCATTTGCAACACGTAATTATGATCCAATTCTGGTGAATGAAAAGTTGAGTTTAGTATAACTGAGGTGACCTTTTCGGATGTGGAGTAATGAGTAAATACGGATAGGGTGTTTGAGGTCAATCACCTTTGATTTTAGTTGGTGTTTGATTCCTTCACATCCATCGACTGCTCTCATTGCGTATCGGGTCTTTTTCTCCAACGTTTCAGTGCATCCCCACTACACTGGAATCTTGTTTTCACGCTCCCGTAGATGTCTAGTTCACAAGGGGAGTGACCACGAGACTGTCAGTAGTTTTTCTTATACCCAGCTCGAATCACACGATGCTACGGCGTTTTGCAGCGGAGGTCTAAGCCCCAGACAAATACTTCAAGGACACCCTCTCAAATCTCACTATACCAAAGGATCTAGACACCGAGACCATGTCAACTACTCATTGACCATATTGTCCTCTTCCACGCTGGCTAAATCTATTAGCTCCCTTTTGTTTTCCATCTCCATGGTTACCACACTACCCTTCTCAATTTAGCGCCGTGAGGTTTTGGTCGCGCAATTTGTGGTGCCGTGCGCGGTGAGTGCCGCTGACAAGGCACTACCAGCACGGCTGCGAAACCACAGGGCGACGCGTTTCTGGGGTAATGCGGCTGACCTGCCTCACGATGACTACCACTACACACACACACGATCCAAAACACTACCATTGCTGATCCCCTTCGCAATACTCCGTCCAAAAAACCCTATTCCGCCTCCGTTTGGTCGTTTTCGGCATTTCGCCGTGGGAGTGGGGAATTATGTCTTGGCACGACCTTGCTTTATCGCCACGCCTCCAAGCCACACCCCAAGCAAACAACGACCTCCAAAAATTGATATTTAGAGCCACACCACGCTGAAACACCCGAGGCCACCACTATACCACGCGAAACAAGTCTCATAGTAAGCAGTATATATCCATTTAGTGGCACACCCGTTCTGCCTCGTATATTGTTGATTACGACGGGTGCGCAGGGCGCGGCTCAGGCCCCGGTATCGGTGTCGCCCCCCGCGATAAGGGTGGGGTCACAACAGAGCCGCGTGGCAGCTGATTGCCAGACCTGCCTATAGTCGTATATATAACAGAGTTTCCCTCATCAGTTTAGCTTTTAAACTACTTTTTCAATTATGCTGATTGGCGACAAGTTTTGGGGCAAGATCTTGACCCCCGAGGAGAACCACACCCGCTTGCTCAACAAGCAGGCCAGCCGCGACCGCAAGGGCCGCCCTTGGCTCGAGCGCCTTGGGGCCGGCACTCCCCCGAGAGACTCCCTCCGTGTCGAGGAGTTGTCTTCCGACGTCAAGTTGGTTTCCAACCAACTGAGACAATCGTCCAATTGATTTATTCCTTGGGATTATAGGGAAGCTTAATAGCTCTAATGAACGTTATGAAAGACTGAACTTGGTGGCGAAGGGGTGGGGTGAACTTGTAGATGTGGCGGTATCTTATCTTGGACTTGATAAGAGACTGCCACTGTAATCTCTATGTTTGTGATCATAATCTTGATTGTCGACTGATAACGAATAGTTTCACTGGGTTGGAGACACACCATCAACTTCTCTCTGGGAGACACTGGGCTAAAAAAGCCACCAATCCATAAGCTGACAAAGTATAGTCGAGATCCCCGAGCTGAGTATCTCTCTATTTGCTGGCAAACTTCATACTACAGCATACTGTGGTGAGTTTGGCACCCATTTGTTCCCTCACTTCGTGTCTGGCTGATGGTGGGACCTTTCTAATTCAAACGATCAAACAAAGAAAGGTTACATCAGATGATTAGCATACGTTGTGTTTTTGCTAATTTCCTTTGAGCTTTTACAAAGTGTTTTCGGTGAAAATTAATGAATGTCGTTTAAATGTGTAATTGTCAATGAATGCTAATAAATACTATTGGATGTGTTTTGAATGTATTTCGAATGTGTTCTGAATGTATTTTGAATGAATCTATTGTGAATGAATGTCTATTAAAACCCTATGCCTTTTCCCCCCTCAGCTTCCAGAACTTGGCGTTCTTCGCCAACGCGTACTTGACCAGTTGTATAAGCCCCGCCGAAAGCACCCCGCGGATCGCCTGTTTGATCAGCAGCAGCCAGATGATCCGCAGCACCACGCTCTGCATGTTATCGGCGAGCTTAGGGTCCTTAGCGATCTCCTTGATCAGCTTATCCTGGTACATCCCGTAGAGCTGTTTGCGGAACCCAAGCGGTAGTGTCAGCACCAACTGGATGCGGTGGTTGACCAGCAAATTGGCCCTAAACACTTTGTTAGGGCCACTTTCACTGATGACAAGATAGCCCCGATGGACGAAATAGTCGATGATGGGCTCGTAAACTTGCTTAAACAAGTTAAACTGTTTCTCGACGATATTTTTAACCTTGTGAGGGTTTTCCCCCCCCACTTTCATCCGGAAATCGCCCATATACGATAACCGGGTAATCTGTTCGTAGAGCTGGCGCTCGGAAAACGTCTCGGGAATCAGGACCTTTGTAGGTTTGCCCAGCCCCAACATAAACACCGAAAGCGTCAACGCATTTTTGAGATTGTATTGGTTCAAGAACTTGACCATGGGGTCGTTATCGCGGACAAAATTGACTGGTTTGTGGAGTCTGCCGGCGAAATAAAGCTGGGTCCACTCCAGCAAATCGTGGAGAGCCGCCTGGCGCAGTACGGTCCCGTATTTCACCGTGTGGCCGTTTATGGGACAAAACGGGTTAAAATAGATGCCGTCTTTCCCCTGGATCCACCGTAATAACGCGAGGTTCTTGGTCAGATAATGCCCCGGATACTGTTGCAAATTTCGCCGATGGAACTGGTTAGCGTCGCCCACCACGTTTATAAAGTCGATTTGCTGGTCTTGTTTAGTGTACCCCGCCTGAGGGAGCACCCCCGACCCGTAGCCAATCAGCGTCTGCATCGGCGCTTCAAACAGCTCGATGATCCCTTCAAGCAGCCGTTGTTGGTCGCGGTCAATCACCACTTCCTGGTTGCCGGCGTGGAAGTCCTTGGGGACGTCCAACTGGTCGAGCCCCCGGATCCCCTGGGCGATGATCGGCTTGTATACACTATCCAGGTACGGTGTCGTCACCCTGGTGAACCCCGTGGTCGACTGCCACCGCACACATCGGAGGATCATGCTGTGGGTGAAAACGGCGACGAAGTGAGGCGGTCTTGCTTGTTGGTAGTAGGCCTCCACCGAAGCGAAAAAAAAAAAACGCGGGGAGACCTTTTTAGGGCGGAAGAAGGGACGAGAAATACCACCCTAAAAAGGTTGGGAGGGAAACGAAAAAGAGTCAGGTGGAAGTATATGTGATTAGTAGATTGAAGAAGTCGATTTCAAGTCATTTTGGTTTGATTTTGTCCAAGTTTGGTGGAGCTATTTAATATCTCGATCAGGGTTAATCGAGGCGAAAGGTGCGAGATGAAAAAAATCGTGCTGCCTTCCGGTCCTACCGAGGCACACGAGTATAAAGAGTAAAGCGTGGGACGTTGCCTAAGTCGTCAATAAAAAATTTTGATTAAAAATTTTCAAAAATTATGGGCAAAAGCTGGTAAACACGGTAATTGTTGGCGACGGGGTCTCATCGAACGGTTGCAAAAAGATAAGATTGCCTTCAGCCAGATTCGAACTGACGATCTCCTCATTACTAGTGAGGTGCCTTACCACTTGGCCATAAAGGCTTCTGCGAAAAAAATTGCTTTGGCATTATCCCACCATACTAGCAATGAGCCACTTTTGCCGCAAAAATGGCTTTAATTCACTCATTTCCTTACTAGTTCTACACGCTATTTCAATCACGTTTTATTACACGTCCCTAACCGCTCTATAATACATGCATTCCTCACGCCACCGGCTCCAACGTCGTCCCCAGCTTGACGGTGGCCCACCCAATCAACCGCCAGTGCTTGTCGATACGTCTACTCAAGGCGATCTTCTCGTTGACCTCGGTACACGCCGGCAGCGTCAACTGTAAACGGGCCATATCCGCTTGCACGGCGACAACCTTAGCCCCAGTAGCGGTGGAACCAATGTTGACCATCAACACTTCGCCCTTCTCCAACTTGCGCACCTTAGCCCCCTTCAGCTGGCCCTCGGTCTTGACACCCAACAATCTTCTCAAGAGGAAGTAGTTGATCTCAATGTCGGTGTAGATCAGCGGCAACGTCCCCTTCGAGCCCACCACTTGCCCCACCAACCGGTCGGCACGGCAAAGGGTGGGGTCGACCTTGGTACCCACCCCGATAAGCCCCCCGGGGACGGCAAACTTCAAGTCGTTGTCTTCGGCGAAAAGCGACACCACGTACGAGTAGATCGGCTTGCATTGCACCTTACCGTTGTCGTCCTTGGTGACGATACCGGGTCTAATTTCGATCTCATCGCCCAATTTGAAAACCCCCAGCAAAATCGAACCACCAGCGACGCCACCTTTCAAGTCGTCGATCTCGGCACCGGGTTTATTGACGTCAAACGACCGGATGACAATGAGCTTCGACGCCGCCATGAAGTCGCGCACGGGGACGGGGATGTAGTTGCAAATGAATTCGTTGACGGCGTCGATGTTGTACTTCAACTGAGCCGAGATGGGGACGATGGGGGCGCCGTCGGCGATGGTGCCGCGGATAAACTGCAAAATCAGCTTTTGGTGGTCGAGCGCCAGCGCCTCGCGCATCAAGTCGACCTTGTTCTGTAAGATGATGACGTGCTTCAACTTCATGATCTCGATGGCGGCTAAGTGTTCCGACGTCTGCGGTTGCGGGCACAGCTCGTTCCCGGCAATAAGCAAAAGGGCGGCGTCCATCACCGCCGCCCCCGAAAGCATCGTCGACATCAAAATATCGTGCCCCGGGCAATCGACGAACGACACGTGGCGCACCAAGTTGTAGCGGCCGTCACAGCCTTCACGAAGACACTTGGGGTGGATCTCTTTGTCCGACTTGAACGAGTGGTAGCAGTCGGGCTCGGGACACTCCGGGTTCAGACACTTGTAGATCTTGGCGTTGGCGTACCCCAACTTGATGGTGATATTACGTTCCAACTCGTCCTTGAATCTGACCGTTTGCACCCCGGAAATCGCTCTTACCACCGTCAGCTTACCGTGGGCGACGTGGCCAATGGTACCGATGTTGATGGTGGCCTGGCGGTTGATAATCACGTCCAGCAACGGCGTGAGCTTCGAGAAATCCACCGTCAGCGCGTCGGGTTGTTCGGGTAACCCGCCGCCTTCCTCAAATTCCCGCTTGGCGGCCTCGGCGTCGTACTCGTCGGCGACGGCGAACGCCACCAGCTTCTTCTCCTTGACGGGCTCGTCGGCGGTGTCGGCGGCGTCGGCGCCGTCCTCGACGTCGTGCTCGTAGACAAGCTCCTCCTCCACGGGCTCGGCATCGCCGCCAATGACGATGTCGGGCACGGCGTTATCGATGTCGTCGTAGTTCATCCTTGCGGGTAAGGGAAAAGATTTTCGCGATGAAAAAACGTCCAGGCGCTGGGTGGGTCTCCAGCCAAACGAACGAGAAAATTCCACGCCTAACCTGCGTGACCTAAACATTTAAAAAGTCTTTAGAAGAAAGATAAATTTAGGGAGTGTGTTGTTTTGAAGGGAAGTGTGTGGGTTGGGGTTGTTTGGTTGGCGGTAAGGGAGAGATGAGTGAGGGATGAGGTGTGACGGCGGTAGTGAAAAATAGATTACTGACAGGGGCGACTGGAAATTTCAATTGTGAGATGGGGTAATATGGAGGGGTAGATTAAGTGTAGAAAAAAATTAGGTGGGGTCACCACTATGTTTGAGTCAGATATTTCGTGGGGTTTTAGCCGTATAGTGGCGAGCGCGAGTGACAGACTGGAATGTGTCAACGAAGGGTTTCTTTGAGATAAATTATGATGATTTGCTTACTAAATGGAGATTATGAATGACATTTATCTATTGATGATGACTAGTTTCCAGTTCTGATCTACTTTATTCCATTAAGCTTCCATAGTCATCTCGTTGAAAAGCTAAGCTTTATTGAAGTCTTCTTGCTGAGAAATTTGATCCACTCGACTCAATGGAGGCTACTGAGTAATCGTACGGTCACTCTGATTCCTATCTACCCTGATTTAACTGTTGGCACGTGAATCACGTGCCTTCCTCATTTGGCAACCGCGCTTCGCCGCACCCAAATGCGGTCGCGACAATCGTCCCCTCCAATCGTCCCCTCCAATGACCCACCAATGACCCACCAAATCATTGTATAGCTATAAGACTTTCCAGCCATGGAAGTCGTGAACTTATCTACTTGATTTGTGGACTATTGTCCCAATTGAATGCATACCGTTTGCCGACGCAATTCCGGTTGCTCGCCTGACAATGGCTGATTCAGCCAAGTGCCACCCGAAGCCCCTTCAGTCTATTGTTAACCCCCATTGTAATCGTTGTGGTGCCTAAATAAGGAAACCGCCGGGGTATCCCCTATCATCAAACCTGTGTATCTAACGTTTAATTTGATTCCACTGATGACCGTGATTAGTTATTCAAACTTGAAATTCAAGATTCACATGGGGGAATGTCCAATTAACCAGACTTGAATCAGTCACAGAGGGATGATACACCACGATCACTCGAACGATCCCGTATGATCCGACCCCTCCAACTCTAGGAAATAGTGAATATGAAGTGGTTTCTCAGCATCTGATAACGGTAATGATGCCGCCAATGTCCGATTATCTCCGACACCTATCATATACTATTTCTATTTCTGAGAGAATTATTTCAATTTCCGATTATCTCCGACACCTATCATATACTATTTCAGTTTCTGAGAGAATTATATTGAGTAGTGCTTCAATTTCTGAACATCTAGCTAAACAATGGTAATGTTGCCGCCAATGTCCGATTATCTCCGACACCTATTGTTAACCCTTCGATGCGTACATGGTATCCGGACTGGTAACACCTATCATGTACTATTTCAATTTCGGAGAGAATTATATTGAGTAGTGCTTCAATTTCTAAACATCTAGCTAAACAAAACAACCACCAGAACACTGTCGTTCAAGTTTAGAATCAATTGTTCAAGATGTTTGGCCGTTTTAAACTAAACCTCGATCCTAGCTTATCTGGTTTAGGAAATAGTGAATATGAAGTGCTTTCTCAGCATCTGATAACGGTAATGTTCCCGCTATTGTCCGATTATCTCCGACACCTATCATATACTATTTCAATTTCTGAGAATTGTTTCAATTTCCGATTATCTCCGAAACCTACCATATACTATTTCAATTTCTGAGAGAATTATATTGAGTAGTGCTTCAATTTCTGAACATCTAGCTAAACAAAACAACCACCGGAACAATGTCGTTCAAGTTCAGAATCAATTGTTCAAGATGTTTGGCCGTTTTAAACAGGGTAAACTTCGATCCTGGCTTATCTGGTTCACGTGCCATGGTGCAGGGGTGCGCCAAAGTACAACATACTGTGGCATTTCTGCTCAATATATAAACCACCATAGTTCCACGAATCTCAGGCCACAACCAATTCAAAGATGACTCAGAGTGAAACGCCCAACCCACTTAAAGATACTAAGGTGTTCCAGCCGATTACCGTGGGGAAACACCAATTGACGCACCGAGTAGTGCACGCCCCTTCCACCAGATTAAGGGCCACCAACGACCACGTGCCGTCTCAGCTCACGGTCCAGTACTATGACGAGCACTCCAAAACCCCCGGTTCGCTTATTGTTGTTGAAGCGACGTACGTGGCGCCGCTAGCCACCGGTCAAAGTAACGCACCGGGGATATGGAACGACGCGCAAACCCAAGCGTGGAAAGCAGTGGTAGACAAAGTCCACGCTAACCAGCTGAAGATTGCGTCTCAGCTTTGGTTCTTGGGACGTAAAGCCGACCCTAATTTCCTTAAACAAAGGAAAATTGATTACGTTTCGGCACTGGCAATTTATGATTCAGAACAAGCCGAGGCCAAAGCTAAAGAAGCAGAGTGGCCGTTAAGAGCATTAACTACGGAAGAAGTGGAAAACTTAGTGGAAGAAGTGTATCCTAAAGCTGCTAGAAACGCTCTTGAGGGGGCTAATTTTGATTATATTGAGCTTCACGGGGCTCATGGCTATTTGCTCGACCAATTCCTTTCTCCTGAATCCAACCATCGCACCGATAAATACGGTGGCTCCATTGAAAACAGATCGCGGTTTATCCTCGAACTTATTGACAGATTAGGCTCCGAGTTCGGCTACGATAAGGTCGCTATACGTATTTCCCCCTGGAGAAATCAGGATGGCATGAAAGGCCGCGAATCCGCAGTACACCCCGTGGTCAATTACGGGTATTTATTATCGGAATTACAACGGAGAGCTGATCAAGGCAAGGAAGTGGCGTATGTGTCGGTTTTAGACCCTCGAGTCAACGATACCAAGGCTAACGTGATCGACCATGAAAACGAGAACTTGGACTTTGTCCCCTTAATCTGGAAAGGTAAGATTATCCGAGCGGGCAATTATACTTATGATTCTCCGAAGTTTAAGCGCATTGTTGACGATGTGGATAATGACCGGACATTAATCGCCTTTTCTCGCTATTTCACGCTGAACCCTGATTTGGTGGCCAGATTACGTGACGGTCTCGTGCTCGAACCCTATGATCGCCAATATTTCTATTATGGTAATAACTGGCTGTACAACACGTGGAACAACTACGGTGAGTCGAAAACATGGGATAAAGACGAGGAATTGAAAGTTGAGCTTAAACCAGCGCAATAATTATTTGTGGATTTGGTTACAATTGGTGAGGGGCCAGAGATACTGCGCGATTTGCAACCAGAGCACACACCCTGCTCAACTCTTCTCCGGACGAGAACCCTCCACATTTTTAGTGAATGAAATTTTATTTTATAATCAAATGATAGTTGAATTGTACTGGTATTACTGATAACTAAGCACATCTTTTGTGGCGCTCTGCTCCCCTCCTCCCTCGTGGCATACGGCCCGATGGAGGGTGGGGGGAAGGGCTACAATATGAAGTACATCCCCCCAAAGATTGGAGGGGAAGCTCAGGGCGGGATTCGGCAACGGCCGAGTTGCTCTGCCTCATAGAGCAGCCACTCCCCAGTGTGACATCACCCCTGGAGCATGTAAACCTGTAACAGGTACCCACCACCGTGGTGCCCACATCGACACCACCCGCTCGCCCAGCTCTAATTTCCAAGACGGTAACTCTCTGTGCCAGCCACGGCAGAAGTACCGAGGGAAGGCACGGCGCCCTATATTGCCCGCGGGCCGATCTTTTCCCCGATGCGGGATAGTGACGCCATGCTGCTTGCCACTGTGTTTTTTTTTTTTTTATTTCTGTAGGCGGCTATGTGCACACCGCGTGGATATAATATCTATAGACAGCAAATCCACACCCTCGACATCGCCCCCATCGATTATTCAGTCACATCACCACCGACAGCCGCGGTGGCGCCCCCCGACAAATATGACGCTGGCGATGCACTGGTTCCCGCCCACGCGCTGGTGGTGTGCCCTCACCAAAGGCGGCGGCGGTGGCGGTGGCGGTGGCGCCCCCCCGCTGTGGTCGCCGGCGACTTCCGGCGCCAGTGACGACGACGACGACGGCGACCACCGCCCCCGCCGCAAGCGCCAGCGGCTCGACCCCGAGGTGGTGGCGCTTGAGAGAAGCATCACCGACCTCCACGTGCTTACCCCGACCCTGGTCGACGCCTCAGTGGCGACGGACCCCTCGACAAAGCCCGTCGAGTCTCACCCGGTGCCGGCGCCGGGAGTGGTGCGTGCGGCGCTGCCGACAAGTGACCACCAGGTGGCCCCGTCCGAGGCGGCATCCCCCGCCCCGCTGGACGCCGCCAGCGACACCTGGGCCCTCGCCAGCCACAGCTCGTCCCCCGGGTCCATCCTCTCCCGCACCACCACCACCGACGCCGCCGGGCTCTACTTGCTGGACGAGTCGGACATGGAGGTGCTGGACGACGACCACGACCGGCCCGACGAGTTTATGTTCTACTACGAATGACCTGTTTGCCCCCTTCACCCCATGATGAACTAATGACGACGATGTTACGACCGACACGAGGCAGTTATAGACCCCCGATCATGAAACTTATATATCATTTAGAATGCCGCATATAATTTAAATAGACAAAGTAATCCAGATTTCATTAGGCTGTGATTGTAGTCGATTAGTATTGTTGCAAATGAAGGTGACATCTCAAAGAAAGTATTGGTTAAGGTCGACTTTTACTTACTGATATGTGACATAGGTCTACTTAGTTAGAATTACGATTCGAGTCCCACTTGATGAGGGATATGGTTTGAGATTGATGTGTTTAAATTGTCAATGGTATAGAGAAATTAAGAAATTCACTAAATGAGCAAATATTCTCAGTTCAATTTAAAATAATTCTAGCGTTACAGATTATCTCTACTTCATCTGCGATAATGAGTATACTGATCCCCGCTGATGATGATTGTGACTGTGCAAGGAGATGGGCGGCAACACCGGTTCCCATAACTCTATCAAACTATTAAATTCATCGATGATTACAATAACAAACACATTCAGACTTCTCTCTTTGAACTTTACCGCATATATTCATCAATTCAGGTGCTCGGTTAGCAAGGGCAACGCGTGTACCACCACTAATGCGCGCTCCACCTATTTCCACAACAGACCAAGACGAGGCAACTCCAGCATTTGCCCAGCAAAAATGCCGCACAGGGTCAGGCGTCGCCTTACCCCTCCCCTTTTAACTTGGTGGTGATCCCTCTTTCTTCTCACCAGTCACCGGCTCCTTTCAATTGACGCCATGGCTCCACTGCGATTCGTGGCTCTCCCTTACGACGTTTATGATGAGATCTTCAAGTTCCTTGATCTTTACTCATTGCGTCTGATGTTCGAGGCCTACAGTATCCGTCCTGACTACGAGACGTTCCGGCGAACTTCCACTCGCCACTTCAAAAAGCGGGTGGAGAATGTGACCGTGGAGCACCTCTGTGACGGTGATACTTCCAAAGTTGACTTCCCCATGTTGGCAATGTTTCCACCGTGCAAGATTAACGTTGAAGTGCCTGTTGAACTTTTCGAGATTGTCAAGTTGTACCTTAAGCAGGTGAAAGTTGAACGATTGGACTTGAATGTGTATGACGAAGGTGCCGGATTCTCACGCATCAATCTTGGCGATATCTCTGAGGTAACTGAACTAGTTTTATTCGGTGTTTTGGTCAACACTGACGAGTTTCCTGTCACCGTTGAGCAACTTTCGCTTGTTGAATGCCAATTCGAGTCTCTGCATCCAAGCTTAGTACACTTGACTAACCTCACTAAATGTCGAATTGGCGATTGCGACCACGACTTCTATGGTGAGTTACCGCCGCTGATCACCTATATCTCAATTTTCAATGGGGAGGATGCTTCTGTGGATGGATCCTCACTTCCGAACCTCAAGCACATACTGGGTCCTGCTAACGGTATTTTCTGGGACCGAATCGAATCTGCCGATGTTGACGAGATTCCCGAAGGTACAATCTGTGCTAATTTGAAGGACCTTGAACTCCTGAGCCTGCAGAGCCTCAAAAACATTCATTGTCCCAATCTTCGAAGCGTTTCTCTTGATGGCCGCATAAATCACATCAACGATGTTTTAACGTACGGTCAACAAAATCAACTTGAGTCATGCGAATACTTCGGTCGGACTAATGACTTGACTTTGATGCTGAACTTGAGAAGATTACGCGTTGGGTACAAAGAGCGTCTCACGGAGCACACCCCGTTGCCGCCTAATTTGGTTGAGCTAGTTATTGATTCCGGCCGTCCCGTCGAGGGTATTCCCTTACAGCTTGAAGTATTTGGGTACATTTGCAGTAGTGTGGATTGTGATGTGACCGTGAGATCCCCTACACTTAAGCGCTTGCTGGTAGACTATGCCACAAATTTAACGGTCAACTGTGCTAATCTTGAAACTTTGGAGTTGGAATGTTATCTGTCTCTTGTGGAGTGCAACGTGCCGAATGTGACGGAGTTACGTGCAAGAGATAGAGAGGGGCTTTTGGAACGAGTCCCGAAACTTCGTCGTCTCACTTTATTGGATGGGAAACCCTTGGTGGCTGATCTTGTCATCAACCAACGTCTTGAGTACATTTCTCTTGGACTTCTCCGTTTAGGGGAAGTGACGCTTTCGGCAGACACGATCCTCATTCGGGATTGTAAGTTCATCCACACTCCCACCATCACAGCGCGGTCCCTCACGATCTGTCAATCAGATGTTCAAAACGTCACTATCACTAACGTGACTTGTCAAGAATTGATTTGCGACAATCTCAACCACATTCCTCTTATGGTGGAGAAACTTATCCTTTCTTCCTATCTGTCCTTTTCCAGAGATTTGTTTAGCAATTGCCGAAATCTCACGTCGTTGACGATCAGACACACCGACATTAAGCCCGTTTCATCTAACAGACTTGATTTGCCATCGACGTTGAGGAAACTCAGGTTAACGAGCTGCCAAAACGTGCACATGTTGAACTTTGAAAATGTCACACAACTCGACTATATCGGTTGTGACAGCCGTTCCTTGGAGATGGTGCCTGGAACCATCGGGGTTCTCAAGCCAGCAAACTTTCCTAATGGACTTGTGTCCTCTGGACCCAATTTGTGGTACCGTCCCGATTTGTTGACATAGGACGGCCCTGGTAATGGATGTATGTTATGCCTAGGATTGTTTGATCTGTTCGTAGAAATTTGTGATCTTTCATAATTGGTTTACGGTGACCGTTAGCGAAGAAGTCGGGACGGTTAGCGACTACACATTTTCTTAGTTTCTCGTGACAAATAAATCATTAAATCGTGCTAAATACAGAATATTAATCAACATCTCGTGGCGCCAGCCGGCTGTAAGCCCATAAAGTAACTGAGTTTATCAAAGGCAAACTTCCCCAACGCCATCCCCGTCACCACGGCGAAGAAGTACACCAATACGTACGTCATGGTGGCAAGCATCAAGTAGTAGCCGAACATCTCGGGGACAAAGCAAAGGAAAAGACGCACACAGTCGCGGAAGATGCGCACCGGCCACAGCGGCTTCTCGTAGCTGGCGGTGGCGTCGCCACACGAATCGAGGTAGACGGGGTTCTTCCACACTCTCACTTCGAGCCACATCCGCAAGAAGTCCATCCCCTTGACGAAAAACGCCACGAAGAACAAAAGCACAAAGATCCCGAACGCCTGGGCCCCGTTGTTGGCGGTGAGCTTGTGGAACACCACGGGGTAGTCCAAGAAGTGCGCCGTAAACCACATGTTCATCATGTGTTTCAGTTTGCCCCCCATGTCCATTCCGCCCATTCCGCCCATAGACAGGTTGCCACCCATATGCATCGACATGTGGTCCATCGACAGGTGATCCATTGACATGTGGTCCATTCCCGACATGTGGTCCATTCCCGACATGTGGTCCATCGACATGTGGTCCATTCCCGACATCCCCGACATGCTGGCCATCATTGCCGAGTGCGCCGACATCATGCTGGGATCCATCAGGTGGCCCATCAGGTGGTCCATCGACATGTGGTCCATGTCCATCGACAGGTGGTCCATGCCCGACATTCCCGACATCATCGCCGCCATCGTCGCCAGCAGCAAGCTTGCCAGTGCCAGCAGCGCCACGTCGCTCATGGTCATCAGTGCCATGTCCATGTTTCCGTAAGGTTTCAGGTGTGATGCCGATGGATGCTGGCGACTTATATAATTAAACCCGTGAGTGGTTTACTTGCCTAATCGGGACGATAAACCACTCACGCCGTGCCTGGGCTTGGCGGGCTCTATTTAGCCCGCCAAAACCGGTAGACAAATGGAGCGCGTTTGCATCGGTAAAATGGGACCACATTGGGTAGGTTTTATCACCGGCAAATACCGGATTCCGTACTCAGGGCGAGTGCGAGGCTCGGCGCATTAACAGGGCCACGGGTTTGAGTAGTGCGAAATTATCGACCCCTTGAAAAAAAACACTAAGCTTACCCGTTACGAGCCCGCCTTGGTGATTTATGTGTCAGGGAACACCGCAGGCGCGCGCCCGGAAACCGCTCTGGCGAAAAATCAATACCAACCACAAACCAAACACGTCAGCCAAATCCGCGCATGTTTTCCCGCGCCCATCTCGTCGCCGTTGGTGCGCTCGCGGGACTCCCCGTGCGGGTGGTGGTGGTGGCCCTGGTGTTCTTCAGTCTCCGCTTCTCCAAGCAGCCGGCGTTGCTCCACCCGACGGTGGTCGCCCTCGTCGCCAGCCTAGCGGCGACGTTGCCGCCGCTCTGGGGGGTGCCCACTCGTGCCCGTGACGCCAAGGGCATTGCCATTGGTGCCGGCGCCGGCGCCGTGCTTGCTTTACTGTGTCTTCTGGCGTCTATTATGGCCACCGATTCCGGCAAATTCTATTGGATTGCGGTAGCGGCGGTGCTCGCCACTACCGTGGCCAACGTCATTGTCTCTAAGGGAAGCATGGTGGTGGCAATGTGCTCTACTGAGCCCCTCTACGTGCTCTGGGGCCACGGCGTCATGCTGGTGGCGGTGCCCTTATGGCTCGTGGCTAGTGCTCACTGGGGGGAGCCGGTACTCAATATCAGCGCCACCCATCCGGGGATGGCCCTCTATTTTGCTGGCGCCGGTGTCCTTGCACTTGCCACGGTGTACTTATTCATCGACCATACCCATACTCAGCCAGATACCATCGAACAAGGCCACGGCGTCGTCGTTGACATCCCCCAAGACGTGGAACTGAAGGTGACCGATGATACCCCGTTAGTCGATGTCCCTGGCGAGGATGTGATGACTCTCGGCATTATTGCTGGCACCTATCTCGTGCTGGCGGCGTTACCGTACTTTTGCTTCACGGTGTTCCCCACTCACCCTCAGACCAACCGCAGCTGGTTCACCCCGATCAGTTGGCTTGCCTGGGCCGTTGGTGAAGCTAGCGCCTATGGCGGTAGCATCTGGTGGCTGCGGCGGGTCATCCTCACCAAGTTTGAGCAATTGCGGTCCTACGTGTTTATCCGTCCCATCTTCTGGATCTTATTTGCTGGATGCAACATTAAGGACCGGGGACCGTGGTGGGGCGGCGATGGCTTTTATTTAGTGCTTATGGTCGCCTACGGATGGACCCACGGCCAGTGTGTGGCGAGTGCGGTGGCGAAACTCAGTGACCGCAGTTTCACTCCCGATCGGCGCCAGGTATTGGCGGTGTACTTCGAGCGGATGGCGGTATCGGGTCTCATTGCCGGTTTGCTATGTCTGCTTCTAGTGTTGTGGTACTTTGACGCTTCCATCCATCAACGTTAGTGGGGCACGAAACCGAAGCTATACTGGATATAGCAGACGTCGGGGGGCTAGAACCAAGCACCACTACCACTAAGTCATCGATCATTTTGCATTTACTTTTATCAATCCCTACGGAGAAGACGAGGGATGATTAATCAAACGTCGACGGACATTGTTACAACCGGGGATTAAATTACATCGTGAAACTTATTTGTATTGGCAATTACAAACATTCACTATTAAAGAGCAACTATGATTGTGTTGAGCAAGTTTTTTTTCGTTTTTTATTTTGGATAACATGGAAAAGCGCAGACACACGCGGACCGAATAATGATGAATACGAAATAGTGGTGAACGAAAGTTGATGCAATCAGCTTTTGAGCTTCAGTTGGGCTTTACTCATGGACTTATTCGATTGGTAAACCATAATCGGTGTAACGACGGCCGTGACCGTCAACAGGAGGTTTCTTCGTGTAATTTTTTGCATTGATGGTCACTCTGTGACGCTGAAGATGAGCTTCCATGTCAACTTCATCAACGACTTTGTGACACAAATCGCAGCTCGAGTTTGTGTTGTTTGGATTGACTTGAGAGAACCAATAATAAACCCAGTTTTGTTGAGCTCGAGGGTCAACCGTCGACCGGGGTCCGACATCATCGGCTTCTTCAATTAGTTCACCAAAAATTGTGAATCGACGGCCATAGCCATCAATTGGAGGATTTCTGACGTAGTTGATAGTCGTTTTGTCCAACTCGTGGTTTATGAGGTGCGCCTCCATGTCAGCTTTAGCAACTTTCCCAAGGCACCAGTCACATGCCGCCAAATTTTCGTCATTTTCGTCTTGAACAAACCAATATGAAGTCCAAGCAGGGGCTTCACCTTCTTGTTTGATTCCAGGCTGCTCCATATTTCCAGTGGCAATACTTCTCAAGGAATTGGCACGCTATTTATACTTCGCTCGGACCCCCTATAATCTGCATGGCATGATGTTTCAGGATATGTATCAGGATGTTGCCGCAGGGAATTTGTGACCCACCACTTGTTATTCATAGCAAAAACGTCAAGTGACAAGCTCATCTTGTTACTCCGCTGAGGTGTTTCCACAGCCAATTATGAACCAATGAGTGCGTGGGGCCGTTTGCCATATCCAAGTCAGTTCGGGATTGGCTTTGTCTGAGTCCTGTGGCTGTGGTCTACCATGCATAAAGGAAACTACTGCTATGGCAACTCCATATTAGCAGAAAAGCAATTTCCATCACATCGTACAACACAGTAATACCTACCTCATTAGGTGTCCACCATGTGTTCCCCGAATGTGTCAATGGCTTGGTGGGGTCAGAACTATTGGAGCTATTGCGAATATTCGGGGTCATTGGCCCTCCGCATTCACTTCAATCAGTCTATTAATAAGATGACGGGGTATTGTGCGCCATAAGTTGACTGGTATTGCCAAAACTATAAATCACGTCATGGATTCTAATTTTGGCAATAATATTATGTTGGTAACGTACGTTTCTCACAAAAAGCTTTGTTCTTCCTATGATTACTGGAATCTTCGGAAGATTCACTGTGATAAACGTCATCACCTTGCTCATTCATAGGGGTTGGTTGAAGCTACTAATGGAGTATCTACGTTTGAATTGCGTGGAAGTTTACTTTGGAATTCATTCACATTCAATATTCACATACAAACTAATTTAAGTATTGGCTCGGATGCGCTAGCCTATTGAGCACGACTTAGTGGTCGTTCACAAGGTCAAAAAGCTCATCGTCAAACCACTCTTCCTCCCCCAGAATAAAGGTGTCGAAGGTCATGATGTTGGTGTCGTCTTTTCGAGCCATCCGAGCGGCCATCTCAACCACTTTCTTTCTGTAGTCTTCGTGCACAACCAAGTCCACTTGGTGAAGACACTTGAAGGGGTAGGTGTCGAGGTCACGAGTGGCCATATACAGAATAAACTCAGCCACCCGGTGGTGTTCTTCATCGCTGCGATCACTACCAATGGCACCGGTTGAAAGTGTGAGCTCCACGCTTCCTTCCTCAAAGTTTTCCGGGTCAAGCTTGCATCTCATATTGCCTTGCCATCCGGCAGCGGCACAGTACTCCGCGTAATTTTGGCACGCCTGGGCCGCAAACAGACATCTCTTCAGGTGAGCTTCATTCGTCTGTCTTTTGAGATCGTCCTCGAGGGGTTAAATCTGGGCAGCAGTGTGCACGTACAGGGAGATGTTTTCCATCGTGGTATGCATCTTGTTCATCATTTCAACAGCCCTGTCATCACCCAATATCCTGTAAAATAACCGCGAATTCCGATAAAACTCACGTCGTAATGACTTGATGTCGGTATCCTTGAAATCACATTCTTCTGGAGAGCAGATGAGTTGGATCACTTCGGAGCATGCTTCCGGACTCTCGCGGACTGCATTCAAGACGAAGCTTTCCAAACACATGCTCTTCACGAGAACGGTCGCTACTACTCTTAAGTCTTTCTCATCATCGTCATCAGCTTCTTCATCGTCGTCATCAGCTTCTTCATCGTCGTCATCAGCTTCTTCAATCTCACTCAAGGATTCGGTGTGCTCACCGAGCATTTCTAAGGCTCGAATGCTGGAGTGGCGGCTTGAGGTTAACTCTTCAATTACTTTCTCGACTTCTTCGACTCGATTATCTAGCAACTCTTTCGAAAGTCTGATGATATCCACGTCCAAATCATTGAGCATTTTTTGGAACCGCTCAAACGACTGTATGCGGTCATTGAGGGCTGCTTTTGCCGAGACCCTTTCCCGCTCAAGGTAATTGATGACGCTTCGGCACAGGTCATCGATAGCCTGATATTCGCTTTCAGTTATGCCGCCATTATTCGTCGAGCCTTCACGACGCTGCCTTTTGTTAACATTGTGCATCCTGACAATTGACCGCAACTGTCCGTCTAAGGCATGGACCTCGGCCCTTTCTAAGTTGAAGCCTGCGAAAGTTTTTTGCGCATCTCTTCGAATTTCCAGCACTGTGCTGTTGACCTCATCTTGGTTTGCGAGAATGTCGTTAAGCTTTGAACCGCATGAGTCAGCGTGCTGCTGCAAGGATCTGCGCTGTGATCTCAAGATTCTCAAAATAACGTCAATGAGCCGTATCAGCAACCGAAGTGGTACCGTCAATTGGCTTCGGGGGTTGACGACAGCGTCTGATTCACCGGTGTCTTGCTGAGCAGCAGGGGGTGCCGGAATGAACTGCTTTGCGAAACAATTAACCAACAGATACAAACAACGGATCACATCCCAAGCGGCTTCAAATGCGGCATCTGACTGGCGTTCCCTCCAATAGTTGGCATCCTTTTCTATTTCTGACTTCAAGTGGTGGAGCCTGAGTTGCTGCTGCGCCGGTGCATTTCGCGCATTTTGGAGACCAAACTCGATGCTCTTGTTCAGGATGACACGGTTGAAGTACAAGACCCAGTTTTGCTGGCTCCAATCGTTGTCCTCAAATTGGACTACCAAGTGTGCATTGGTAACCACGTTGATCGTTTATCGGGTTCCTACGTCGCATCCTTTCCCCTATGGCAGCGATCAAACTTGATTTTGAGTAGTTCTTGTCTCAGTTCTTGCCTACTTGTTTATCGACGGCTTGATGTTTCCCTATGCATAGAGCCCTCGCAATACCGCAGCGGCATTGTGGGGAACCTACAGCACGTTTTCGTTAGCGTAGCCTCATGTGGTAAGTGAGACGACGATCAGAATAATGAGAGGCCTGGGTGGTTATTACATCATGGCTGTCAAAGTGGTGAGTATTCAGAAAGATATAGGAGCAGTCATCGTGCCATACTTCCTCCCCTTAGATTTTCTATTTTCACCTATAAATAAAGGAGGCGCTTCGCATATTCCACACCGTATCCGTCGTGGCTTTGGTACACAAAATGTACTGCCAAACGTAATTTGCAGCCAGCATTCGCACCATGGGTCAGAACCTTCATAATTAGCCGAGTTCACCCCCGCATGATTGCGGTTGATAAACGCCGACCTCGGAGACCGTACGCCTTTGTCACTTAAGCCAAAATGGCAATATTCATCGGACCATGCACTTGAAGGAAGACAAGGCGAATCTCTCTTTGAAATTTCCAGAGAGAGGAGAAAGGGAAGGATAGTTAGTACCGTGTTGACCTGTAGTCAAAGCCGATAAACTTCCTCGATATGTTTAGCTCTTGATTTTTGAGTGTTCCTATTTGTATAGGTCAAAAGCTTAATTGACAATAATACACCTACTGACTCTTCCTGATTATATGCGTAACGTCATGTGGAATGTGATAGATACGAATAATCGTGGTAAAACTATAATTGTTCGTCTATGCTCTATAATCTCCTATGTACATCGTTCGTAATCGTTGTGAGTGTATCGTTATGAAGTATCCCGGGAGTCACTCGTCGTGAAGAAGGGTAGACAATTGCTGCGAGAAGCCCAGGGCCTCGCCAATGATCTCGTGGGTGACGCGGTCCTCGGTGGTCACCACCGGATCGATCGCCATTTCCCATAGTTGTTTCTTGGTGTGCTTAGCGGCACGCCACTGGTGCTGGCGGTATCTCATCCCGGCTTTGCCCCACCCGTGCCGCTTAGCCATCTGCCATAACTGTTTCGCCGGTGGTGCCGTAGTCTTTGCCCCCAGGGCAATGAGCTCACGGTACCAGAGATAGGCAGTGTTGTACTCCTGGCGTTGGTAGTGGAAGTTGATGAATGGCCAGAGTTGGTTAAACGTAAACGGCACGTGTCCTTTTCTCGCCTCTTTGATCACTTGAACCGCAAACGGGTGGTCGTTATTGGCAAACGCCGCTGTGATAAGCACGTCGTAAACCAGAGTGGTACGGCCCCGTCTCCCCATCGTTGTTCGGGCAAAGAAATCCAGAGCTATCAGCTTAGCTGCGTGGTAACGTTCGCCATCCTGAGTGAGGGCAAAACTGGGACGTTTCAGCGTCAGTTTCCGTAATAGCAGGTTGACCAATGCCACCATGACACGGTCATTACTTGGCGACGCAATATGCGTTCGGTAGCGTTGATACAAGTCAAGCACCACCAGCGGCGGCTTAAGGTTGAGGGGAAGTGATCGCAACACGCTTTCGTAGACATTAGCCACCACCGTTGCCGGCACCTCGGTATCTTTCATCACAAGACTGGCATCGACAGTGGCCGGGGTGATGGTGGCTCCGGGGTCATCAAACACAAGCTCTACCACTCCCAACTGAGCCAAAAGCTGTTGTGCTTGAGGGTAAAATGCCACCACGTAGCCCATTAGTACCAGGGGTTGTTTGGGATATTTAGCACCAATTAGGAGTAATACCTCACGTACAAGCTGGTGGCGCTGATTTGGAGTGAGCTCGTCGAGGGCCATGGAGTTGATTACCATCAATGCATCACCAAACTCGCCCCGAAGCCGTAACCGTTGTACCACGACAAGCCAGGTGGCAAATTGCACCGGGAGCTGGTTCTGCTTCATGTTATTAAGCACCAGCATCATCCCCTGGTGGCCCTCGCCAAACTCCATCACCAGGACCAAGATCGCCTTCATCACAAGCTGGAGGTCCTCGGCGGTGGCCACTTGGCGCAGACACATCGCCTCGTACTTTTTCACCACCATCCCCAAGTACATAGTTGCTGCCGGCACTTTTTTGCTGCGGATAGCCTCCATACAATGGAGGTGGAGGTCCTCAAGGGAGAAGAACAGCACCATTCGCTGTTGATGAAGTGGCGAAAGGTTAGCGTCGACAGTATGGCACCATTGAGGACGGAGCAAGCCCGTACGCCCCACGAGCCGGTCTAGCGCCGTACCGAAGTGGAGGGTCTTTTTCAATCGAAGGATTTCCGTCGGGTCTTTGGTGGAAATGTTGGCGGCGACCAAGTAGCTGAATAACGTGGCGAAGCGCGACGGGGTGGCGATGGCCATGATGCGGTGGTATAGCTTAGCCGTGATGAGGAGCGGGACGGGGTTGTGGGTGTGGGTATGGTATAGCCGGTCGAGATACTCGAAGAGGTACTCCGCCTTGGGGTTAGTCTGAGGGAGCCTGACGATGCGGTAAAGCGTTTCCACCACCAAGTCTCGCGCTTCTTTCAGAGCCGGATCAGCAATCCACTCAAACACGCTGAGCTTGACGTCGTCGACGGCCAACTTTTGTCGTAGCGGCGCCGAGATCATCTCGCGGGTGGTGTCGTCGAGCGACCGCCACGCCAGCGCCACAAACTGGGGGTCGGCCAAGATCCGCAGCGCCAACACGTCGACTAATTGCGATAGAAGGTGGTGGTAGCCCGTGGTGTCGTGTGCGGTGGCGGCAGCGGTCAAGGTGTCGTCGAGGTAGTGGCGGAGGCGGGTGCCCAGCCATTTGGCGAGGGTTTCGGGAGGAGGAAGCAGCGGCACCGGTTTCAGCGATAGCGAGATCAGGTACCCCCGCCAGCCGATGGCTGGCAAGCGGCCCCCTCGCCATCGTCGGAGCGGGGCCCGGGCCCTTCGTAGGATCATAGTTGGGTACCGATGAGTGCGGGTCCCTCGTGAGTGCGCCCACCCACGACTACCCCATTTTTCAGTTCGAATACTGAGCTGAGCCATCAAATGGGTCAGTGATTAATCTATCTTTTAGTTTCAATTTTTTTTGTCACTTTCAGAGATTAAATTATTGTTACTGAGAGCAGAATTTTTGACATTGACTAAGGGTGATGAGGTGGATAAACGATTACGAAAATCGAATGCTTTGGCTGTCGATTGAGGTTTTAATACTCAAGTACTCCAGTGGTAGACCTTGTATGCTTAAAAGTTGACTGCGTCTAATGTCTATGAAATTGTAGTTATACATGTTAAGGGATGTATCATCGATATTCACACCGTCGTCGATTCGAGGCGTCTTATCTCACTGGTGGACGGAATCAATCTCACGGGTTATTCTGATTCGTCTCCAACACTTTCGTTGTAAATAAAACACCGGCGGTGTTAACAAACAAATCGGTAAGTGACATTATGGTTGTAATCATCATAAATCATCCATGATTACCGTATCGTCGACTTTGCGGTATATCCATCGTTGGTAAAAGTAGCCAGCGTCAAACACCACCGTCCCCGAACTCCCCAAGATGTACGGTAGTTCCTTGACGAAAAACTGCCAGCGGCGTGGTCCCGGTTGGCGGAACTGGCAATCGGTCAAGATGCTCACGGTGTAGAACACGTTGCCTAGCAACGCCGCCGTGAACAACACCGGCGAAAGCCCCTCGACCAGCTTCCGTCGCCAGTTATGGTAGAGCTGAGGAGCCCGCAGCAGCATGTACACCACCGTACACATCCACGCCAACGTCACGCCAATAGTGTCCGAATGGGAGTCAACTGGAGAATTAGCATTGGCCAATGGCATCGCCCCCACTCGAGCCGCCGAGGCGACCACCGACGCCACCACCGCTGACCTCAGCGTATCGGTACTCAGCGACGAGTTCCGCGGGGACCGGGCCACGGCATACACCCCGGGCCCGGGCCGATTGCCGTAATACCAATACTGCCACGCTAAACAGATGTCATTGGCGACAAAGTACGCCGCCAACCACAACTGGAAGCGGAGGGTGGCCAGGTTAAACACGCACAGCGTCAACGACAACACGTCGCCGAGGAACCAAAGCGCCAAAAACCCCGCCGACAACCCCAGCGTCAGCTGGCGCCGGTAGTTGTTGTAGATCTGGGGAAGCTGGGCACACACCCACGCCGCCGTCAGCAACGTGCTGGCCACCTGGGAGAGCCCATTGGAACAGCTCATATATCAACGCCGAGCGCGAGTCGCCATGTGATTGAGAGAGGGGTGTGCGGTAAGGAAGCGTCACGCAGTGTGGGGTACCTGTAGATAGTCAGCAGCCAGTGAATGCAGTGAACGTAGTGGAGTGACTAAAAGAATTGTGATGTAGATGAGGAGGTTAAACGCAGTTAGTGAACAGGGAGACCAGTGATGGCAAGGTCAGGTCTCTCGCTATTAGTTACACCTACCGAACGTGACTTCCAATTTACCAACCACACATACGCTTAAAAACACCATACCATCGTTTCCTTTCCCCTCCCATCCAGCGGCTGATTCCCTTCTCTCACTTTCTTCTTTCGTGAAACTTGCTAGAGTCCCGCTAGCCGAAATTTTGGCCATCGCCTCATCGGGGCGCGAAAATCAGAGTGTTCGCATCGAGGTCATCGCAACGCCAATCATGGTCAACAGCGACATCCAGGTTTCCTTGGGGGTGATCCAAGAGTTTTTGAAGCGGCACAACTTCAAGCAGCTGTTGGCGACGTTGGAAAACGAGACGTCGACGGGCAAGATCGCCATCAAAAACGTCCCCACGTTGGAGAAGATGGTCGAAAGTTATCAAGGCGAGCTTTCGGTGACGCCGTCGCTGGCGTCGGACCTGTCGTCCGACTCTTCATCGGACCTGTCCTCAGACCTGGACCTGGACCTGTCCTCGGACCTGGACCTGTCGTCTGACCTGGACCTGGACCTGGATGAAGAGATGGAAGATGCTGAAAAGCAAGTGAAGGAAGAAAAGAAAGAAGAGGAAGAAAAGAAGGAGCTGGACCTGGACTCCCTGGACTCTCTGGACTCTCTGGACAGTCTGGACTCTTCATCCGACTCGAGTCTGGACTCCGACTCTGATTCGAGCCTGGACTCCGACTCGGACTCGGACTCCCTGTCTTCGCTGTCGTCGTCGTCGTCGTCGTCGGACTCAAGCCTGGACTCCGACTCCGACTCTGACTCCGACTCTGACTCCGACTCTGATTCAGAGGCGGACACCAAACAAAAGCGGGCGGGTCTGGACGAAGAGGAGTCCCCGGCGAAGCGGGCGAAAGTGGACACCAACTCCAGCTCCACCGAACCGACCCTGGTGACGTCGTCGGCCTCGCCCGAACCTACTGAGGCTTACGACGACCTTAAGCCGGGCCAGCGGAAGCACTTTTCGCGTATCGACCGGTCGAAGGTTTCCTTTGAAGCGGAAGCCCTCCAGGACAACTCCTACAAGGGCGCCGCCGGCACCTGGGGGGAAATGGCCAACGACAAGTTGGGGCGGGTGAGAGGCAAGGACTTCACCAAGAACAAGAACAAGATGAAGCGCGGGGCGTACCGCGGCGGGTCGATCACGTTGGCGTCGGGGTCGTACAAGTTCACCGACTAATCAGCCGTATATACTAATTGGAACACATGGATGGAATGGTGTAGGCAAGTAAGGGAAGACTACCATGTAGCAAACTACGAGTAGCAACTCAACTACGAGTGAGCAACACCCTAGATGAATCGAAAAACGTACGCTTCTGCTCGAGCCATAAAGTTACCACTTCATTGGGGTGGTCCTCAGGGTCAATTCTCGTGTAAAACGCGGTATGCGCTCTGACTGTGTACCCGTCTCTAGTTGATGGTGCAAGAAAGACACGGAGCGCCATCGATGGTATGAGCAAGGGAATGACATCCAAGGACGAGCAAAAACTTTTACTCTCCATCAATACCTACGACGTTGACTATGGCAGACTCTTCCGTTGACAACTCGCTGATCGGTGATTTCCCGGTAGACTCCAAAAGCCGGAGCCCCCTTCCTGTTGATGATGACGACGACGACGATAGCGACTCTGGTAACGGTGCCCAAGAACAAGCACCAGACGTGGATGGCTGGTGGCGCTGGCGCCACCGGGAACCAATCGACGAACTCCCCCCTGAATTGAAAAAGGAGTGAGTGACCCAGTTTGACGTTTCCTAGTTGTTGCTTGTGGTTTCCGTGGGCTGAAGCACAAAAACGATGTCAAAATCATGATCGAAGACCGGGTCAAGAAGCTGACTGTATGCGTGACGCCAGCGGCACGTGTCGGAGAGTCTGCTACTACGATCGACTCCGAGACGTTGGCGTTGCTCCCGCCGTGGTGCGATGTCCACGTCAAAACTCCGGTGGCTTTTTGGGAGCTTTCTAAGAAGTACCTCCTGCGGCCCACTGCAAATACGGCGATGACAATTATGTTGACGTCGGTGGATACTTCATCCACTTACCAGAGCTGGTCACCAGCCTTTGCGTTCAAAATGATAAAGGTGATAACATATACGCATCGGATTTGCCGAAACTCCAACACTACAATGGTCAATCCGTTGACTTGAAATGGTTCCAGCTCAAAACGGCCACTATCGGCTGCATCCCTGATGGCACACGCTGTGGCCTGTTAAAAGAAGTTAACATAACCGACCTGCCCAAGATTACCAATTTCCAGACCATCCACTGTCCCAACCTCCGCGATGTTCTGTTGGATCTTCGGCAAGCTGTTGAGATAACCGACATATTTACGTACGACCAACTCATTCAACTTTAGTCGTTCAAAGGGAGGAACGTTAAACTTGGTGACTTTACATTGTTGGAGCAAATCGAGGTGTTACACGTAAAGTACAATCTGATTCTTGCCGCGGAAACCCCGTTGTCGCCCCAACTCACTGCTCAAATTTCCCGTCAAGCCGTTCCGGTTTACGGGTTCGAAGATCTTCAAGAAGCCACAGATGCTCGAATTCTTTCTGTGGGGTGACACCAAAACTGAGTGGCAAGTCGACCCCCCGCCAAAAAAACATCGCGGATGAGTTTTTACAACTGGGGTACAATTTGTGGTGCCGTCCCGATACGTTGCAATTGAAGCAGCTTTCAGAAACTGAGCCTGAGAATTGAGTCCCTTGCACACGATGATTTGAGCCATTTGATCCCATTTAATGAATACGATACTGAGTGATAAAATTGTAGTCACACATACTTTGTGAGAGAATTATCGTGTTGGTGCCAATTTGGGTGGATGCTTGCCCCACGTAGTTCTTGTTTATTCTTCGCACGGCTGAATCGATTTCGTATATCACCCAGGAACCATGTACTATCGCAGTTAATCTCCCATGCTAATATGGACTTGATTCTATCTTGGATACAAGTACATTCATTTGTTTTCCATTGCCTGTTGATATCGCCACATGATTGGCTAAACCACACCTCTTTGGTATAAGTAGATCGTGGCTTAGATATTGATACGAGTTCGGGGACACGAACAATTTAGATGGCTAACGTAATTTTAGTGAATCAGCTTCTTGGGCAGGAGGGAGGAGGTAGAGTGGGTGTATTATAGACAACATTTAAATCCTAAGATTAATTCAGGGCTAAACATTAGTTCCCGCCCAAATCCATTGTTTACTGATAGCAATGAAGACTAAATTGAAAATGACGACTCCGATAATTACGTCCTGTTTGATAATAATACGATCATTGTTTAAAAATGGTTATGGCGGTGGTTTGCGGGTGCATCACCGTCTATTCCCTAGAGCAGACCCCTGATTGGCGGGGTTTGCTTCGCAGCCAGCAAGCGCGCCTCAATGCCATCGCAATGATAAGCTAAAGAACACGACCACCGGCGATCACTGACGAGAGTAAATGAAAAAGATAATAAATAAAATAGAGTAAACGTGGACGATGGGGCCACGACTACGGGGGATTCGTATCTTCTTTCTATTAGCGTGATGAAATGACTTATTGGATTTGCGAGTAACCGGTGAAAGGGTTGGCGTTCTTCGACTTGAGGTACTCGTCGGAGGCTTCTTGCCATTCACGGTTCATCGAGACGGGGTCAGGGGTGGCGAAGGACAAGATGATGGCGTAGAGGACGGCCGAGATCACGACACCGCCGGTGACGCCCCAGAACACCTTGGCCGCGTCGCCGGGACCGTGCAAGGGCTTACGGGGGCCCCATTCGCCGAAGGAGATGTAGTAGGCGGCCTTCTTTTCCGCGGGGGTCAAGTCTTGCCACGGCAACGCCATTCTCGTCTTGAGGTCGGCAATGATTTGCGCCCGGTCGGCCTGGGGCATGGCGTTCCACCGTTGGGGGAGCTTCCCGACGTAGGCGGGCGAGAGGGGCGCGGGCGAGGCCTTGGCCACAGTCGAGTTCAATCTGACGGCAATTCTCGAAGCTCTAAACATTGGGTAATCAACAGAGAGTTTTTTCAGGCTCGTTTTTCAGTGACTCTTGGTTGGTCAAAAAGGGTGTGTGCAGGCAGAAAAAAACCCCAAAGCTATGTGCAGGTGTGGGCTGATAAAAAGTGGCACCACCACCCTCCTGAGCCCAGTGTGATAACAACGGCGTTTGCCCCGGACTATGGCTAAGTGATGATTTATCTGGTCGACAATAAAGGGCAAAATGGGAATGGCCCTTTACTTCCGTCAATGGAGGTCTCAGTGAAGGTTGTGTGCGATATCTCCGTTATCGGCGGTATCAGATGGCTCCCCTATGCCTGCCCAAGTGCTCGAGTATAAGTCTCTTGAATTGATTATGGGTAGCACGCCAGAACGATTATGGACTGACTAGACACTTGTCAAGTGCTACAGGTTTATTATAACTCACTGAAAGCTTTAACATCAGTGACTTTTCTCTCACGAACGATAGACTCCTCAGTCACACTGGAAACGTTTCATCGACTGTATACATGTTGTTAACTTCTGACAGCATGTGTCTTCCAGTTGGTTTATTTACTTCCCAGAAGCGATTGCACTCGTAGTCCTATAATTCAAGTGAATTCACGGTAATTGCTTATTCATCTATCACTACGATGATGACTTCATAACTACTGTTTCAGACTGTTTATTAAGCGGGAGTACTATGCTAAAAGACGTCGTTTTCGTAAGGACAATTGATGGCACTGTGGCCGTCACGTTCACACAAACCACACCAGTCTTGTCTGCCGGCGGCGGGGTCAAGAGGTTGCAGTGGGGTATAAATCGGTAGCGACGGAGCATCGGCATCGCCACCGTCTCCGGTAGCGGCGGATACGGGCAGAGATGTCGCCGCCGGATGGTCGTCACTGAGGGCTACCAGCACCCCCCGCGACTCGAGCTTGGCCAGTTTCAGGGTGGCTTCGGCGAGTTGAGACGTGAGTTTCTCAATCTCTTGCCGGTTGGCTTTAGCCTCACGTTCCCGTTGCTCTTTAAGCTCGTCCACCTTCCGTTTGGCGTCGGCATAGTCTTCAAACGATGGTCTCATGCTAAGCTGATGTTGAAGCTCTTCGACCTTCGCCTCGAGGCGCGCCACATCCTCCAGATCGTCCTTCGGGGTATCCTTTTCTGCCAACAATTGATTCAGCCTGTGTAACTCTTGGCGGAGGCGGGTCTCAAGCAGTTGCTTTGCCAGTGTCACCTCATCCAACTCGCGACTATGAGTGGCCACTTGTTCCTTAAGCTCAAGCACTTGTTTTTCAAGGGCATTATTAGCGTCGGCGAGCTTTTTGTTCTTTTCGTAATCAGATTCGCCGAGCAGTTTATCCTCTTTCAAAAGCTTATTTTCTTTGGCAAGTTTGCCGACCTGCTTTTGTAATTGTTCGATTAGTGTCAGTTGGTCGGCTTCAGCCATAGCTTCCTTGATGGCGATGTTCTCTTTCGTGAGCAGCTTAATTTTCGCATTTAAGTCATCAACGCTCCCGTCGTTTAGTTGTTGCTTGAGCAGAGCAATTTCTTCATGAAGCTTAGAGGAATCAGCGTTACCGTTAGCCACCAGCCTTTCCATTAACTGGTCGTGCGCTTGTTGCAAGTCGCTATGAGACGACTTAGTGGCTTCAAGCTCAGAGCGTAACTTGTCCAACTCTGCTTGATGACGGGTAGTGACAGCTTTGAGCTCCGCCTCAAGCTCCGCCACTCTCTCCAGATCTTGACTGCGTCCTTCGAGATCCTGGATCTGCTTCACGTAGTACTCTTCATTATCCTGGTGCAGCTTGGTCATGATGTCCACCAGCTCGCGCCACTCGTCGCGGGCTCGGTTGAACTCTTGCTTCTGCCGGTCTAATCGTCGCGAGAGTTCGGCATTTTGCATCTCGTATTGTTCCAACAACGGCTGAAGTTCAGCCACGGTGGTCTGAAGGTCGTGGAGGATGGTCTCCTTCTCAGAAAGAGCAGAGTCCTTAGCTGCCACCTGAGCTTTCAATTCCGTAATCTCCTGATCATAGAGACGATGGTCTTTGATAGATGGCAGAATGCGATGTGTCTTGGCATCAAAGAGACCCGGCTCCAGCGACAGTCCTCCTGACTTTGGCGTCACCAGTCGAGACCGAGGCGTCGCTGGTTTGGGCAACAGTTTCACCCCCAGTGGTACCCTCAGTCCCGGAGCCAGAGATCTGGGAAGTCTCTGTCCCGGTTTAGGAAGATCGGTCGACGGAGGCAGCGACGACGATGCCCTTTGTGGTCGAGGAAGACCCGTCTGCAGTTGGGCAATCAGGCCATCGGCATTCAACGCCGGGAGATGAGTGTTTGCCACCCGTAGCCTCTCCCAAGAAATGAAAAGACCCGACTTCGGTGTAGACACCTCGAAGTAGCGCTTGGCGCCGACGTTACCGTCGTTCTTGCCTCGCAAGGCGGCGATAAACCCCACCAACTCGATGCCGGCGAATAGACCTTCCTTCCCCTCGATGGGTCCATAGTAACGGAGGTACCCCTGTCCTCGGGTGCCCGGTAGATTCACCTGGCTGCCAATCAAATCGCTATCCATGGCGTGTCGGCAAACACGTAGGTGGATGGTTTGCGCGCTTAATTGTGGTAAAGGTAAACAAAAAGCGATGCGCAGTCAGGGGTAAAAAAAAACTCGATTTGCAACTCACGGCGAAAAGTCAGTAGACTTCAAATAATTGGAAGTATCAATTTTGTATTGGCGATGCTGTGCTGATGTGATTTAATCAAAAGCATTTTGGTGTAGTGAGTTGTCTACAATTGTGGAGGCCTTGCGCACGTTTTATGGCGGGCTCATCGAGACCTCCAAGAAGACCAAGATGGATACGCTAACTGTCGTAAAAAAAAGCTCTTTGGCGGGGAATCGAACCCCGATCTCCCGCGTGACAAGCGGAAATACTAACCGTTATACTACCAAAGACTGGTTATGAAAATTTTAGGGCCGCTTTTTGCTGTCTGGAGGGATATCCCAAAAGCGTTAATATTGAGTTTTGGCATTTCACACCTCCCTCAATCGTACTCTAATGTGTGCGTATCCTCGTCGTGCTTTTCATTTTTGTCTCAAACACGTGTAACACTCATTTTCATTTTACTCATCTATTTTCAGGAAATATCCAAAAGTGGCACTATCCCAGAAACGACCAACATCAAACTGCTTCACCTCCACCAAACCACAGTAATGTCAGTTCTAGTAAACTAATTCTATCGTATCATCCACCAACACTAAAACGCCGTTGATTGGCCACTTTATCTCCAGAGAAACGACAAATTCATCATCTGAAAACTAGTTCTTCTTGGTCTATTTTTTGTATACGCGGCGGCGCGAAAATGCATTGTCCCCACGAAAAAAATGCGATGGAAACTCGTAAATAAGCATGAGGTGGCTTAGGGCGCTTGGGGCTCTTGTGCTAGCGGCGACGCTGCTTGCCTCCACCCAGCCCTCCTCGGTGGTGAATAACAAGATGAAGGGGCTTTATCAGTTTTTCCACTTTGCTGGATCCTCCCATGTCGTCAGCATCGACTACTACCCAGAAGACAACAAACTATGGATGCTGTTCGACGACGGCGAGTCTTTCAAGCGAGTAAGCAATGTCAAGAAAGTGTCTGACGTGATAATGGACACCTACAACAGCTCGAGGGCGTTTGTGTTTACCAGATACGAGATTTTCATCACCCACGACCAAGGCAAACACTGGACGAAATTGGAGCTTCTCGAGAAAAAGGAAGACTTACTTTTTGGGAAAGTGCATTTTAATGCTGACAATTCCAACTACATCATGGTGTCGTTCCTAGATCCTGAGTCGCACAAAGCCCGTGACAATGTCTACTTTTATACCACCGATGGCGGCTACCAATGGCAGCGATTGGATACTGAAACCCCGGTTGAAACATGTCTATTTCTTAAGTCGCTGAAGCAGTTTAAGGGAGGTGTGACCAGCAGTGTGGTGTGCAACACCGCTGACGGTGTTGTCATCAGAAGCGACGACTGGTTCCAGCTGCACACTGAGTACTTTATCGCCAAGAACTACGATGTGGAATATATGCTGGTTGAGCTGGAGTTTTTTGTGGTGGAAGTGCTGTACTATAAAGCTGAAAATGACGAGTATCGGACGCTATTGGTCCTGACTCTGGGCGATGACTTGGAGGAGCTGGGCCTACGCATCCCGTGGCTCGATATCATCTCGCTGACTCCTAGATTGGTTGTTGGGGTAGCTAGCTCACTTTTCGCTCTGAATCTGGCGGGGGTCTCCTTCACTGAGTTTACAAACACCTCAGCCATCGAGAACCCCACCATCAAAGGCCAGTTGTTTGCTAACTTCAAGAAAGAGAACGGGACACGCACCATGTTTTCTGTTGACAGTGGCCACAGCTGGAGTGACATTACTCCTGAAACCTTAGCTCTTGATCTTCAGACGATTAAAGCTACCGATAGTGGGATCCTTGCCGCCAATGGTAGAGATGACAAAACCCCCAAGTTGTGGGTACTGCGTGACGGAGGCATGTCTTGGAAATCAGCTGTTGACGAGCTGTGTGAGGTTGAGTTTATTGACGAGGGAAATGTCATTGTCGCCGTGCCCACCAATCTCAATAAACGGATTTATTACTCACTTGATCACGGGGACGTGTGGGAAACTGCTGAATTTGACAGCGAAATCACCGCAAAAATCAACCTTTTCAGTCTGAACTACCATGTCTGTATCACAGGGGACTCTGGCTACAGTGCATTTGAATACGGTGCATTTGACTTTACAAATATCTTCAACGGGGTCCAGTGTGGAGACAGCGATACTGAAGAGGTCTATGCTTGGACTGATGGAATTTCTTTGAACGGACAGCGCCCAAGATTTACTCGAAGAAAGGCCTCGGCACAGTGTTTTATGAAACCCAATTCAAACCTCATTGAGTTTGAGCCGTCTCAGTGCACCGACGTTGATTTCGAGTGTGCCTCCGGGTTCAAGCTTTCTGGGAACGGCAGTTGCATAGTTGATGCTGACGAAATGACTATGTTGTGCGAGGGTTCCGATTCTAAACGGCTTCCAATCAAGAGCAAAGTTGCGGGGAACCAATGCCAGCTTGGCAAAAAGTCGAACGATGACTTCATCAAGTATTTAAATGTCAATTGTTCTCGGTATCGTCTGGAAAAGAAGATCACATCACACCGCACAAGGATTCCAGGATCAATTGACAAGTACATTGTCAGATTCAATGATGTGGTTGTCGTTAGTGATGGCATCGTTTACGTCAGCCACGATGCTGGTGAGACGTTCAAGTCATACGAAACTGACGACACACTTGTGGGCATCCACCATGACCTGCGCTCAAACTCCATGGTGCTTGCTGGGCTGAACAGTACCTACTTTTTGGATGTCGATGCTGACAATTTCACCAAAATCGAGGCACCACTGAGATACGTGAAGGACAAGAGCACCGTTCTCTTTTATAGGACAGAACAATACAAGTCCAAATATGACATAATCTGGTCAAGTTGCGAGTCTGGTGATGGTCGTGATGTCATGGACTTGTGGTATTCGAATGATTATGGCGGCAATTTCAAGAAGATCATCCTGGGAGTGGAGCAGTGTCAAGTATACCACGACTATAGGGACGAAGCGATTATCTGTATGCGACCGCAAACGAATTCGACAAGAAAGGAGCTTGTGGCATCGGGTGATCTCTTCAAGAATGTCAGTGTGCTCGCTGGAGATGTTGTTCAGTATAAGATCAATGACGACCAGATTCTCGTTGAGACGTGGGACAATGCTAGGGATCAACTGGAGGTTGAGTATTGTAAATTATCCGTGGGTAAGGGGGAAGTGTCACTTTACGAAAACGATGATGAGCGAGGCACCATGGCGGAGGCGGCAGTTTTGCTTGACTCAGTAGCTAAGCTATATTTCAGATCTGGAGGCAATGGTCTGGCGGACATCCTTGACGGGCGAAATGGCCGCGTAATGCTAGCTTCTGTCAACTACGAACACGACCAGATTGACTTTCTCCGGTCAAACGTGTGGGAGCAAACTTTGATTGCCAACCAAGCTGTTTCGCCAAAGAGATTACGGACAATGGTGTCTCGCAACAGTGTTTCTGAGTGGACCACTATTAAAGCTCCGTCCGCTGATTCCTTCAACAGAACATATAACTGTTCCTCTGAGTGCTACCTCCATTTCGAAAGCGATGTGTTTAGACAAGCACTCGACCCGACCATTGGTTCCACCGGGGGGATGATGGTGGCCACCGGGAGCGTTGGTGCCTACTTGGACAGTGGCGAGATTGCGACGTTTATGCTGGCTGATGGCGGTGATACATGGAGGGAAGTGGGCAAAGGCCGCAAGCTTTGGGCTTTTGGAAACAAGGGGCTGGTGGTGGCGTTAGCCAATAAAGACCTGCCTTCGGGGGAACTTGAGTATTCATTGGACTATGGTGATTCGTGGCACCGGTACCAGTTCCTGGACTTGCCGGTGATGGTAAACCACTTAAACGTGTCTCATGTCCCGGGCAAAGGGAACCTGATGCTCGACTTTATCCTCGACGTGGAGCACGAGAAGCAGCATGAGATTGTTAAGGTAAACTTTAACCGCTTGTTCAGCTACGATTGCCGGATCCAGGAACACGAGAAGTGGAAGCCCCGCAACCGGCTCGATGGGTGCCGAACCCGGAACCGAAGGGCTCGCAACAGCATGTGTGCCGATAGACAAGAGTTCCGTTTTCGCGTGGAAAGGTCTCGGGATGGTTGTGTGTGCACCAGCTACGACTATGCCTGTGATTCTGGGTACGAACGAGACACTGACGGTTTATGTAAACTAAAGCCAGGGGCCGTTCGTGACGAATCCAGAATAGCATGCAATTTCGGTAAGTATTACTTTGAAAAGACAGGGTACACAAAGTTGCTGGCTCTGCATTGTGTTAATGCTACCCTCCCTTACGAAGGGGAACCGAAGGCGTGCCCTGCGACTGAGAACTTTCGCCATGCCCCGTGGTTTATTGCCACCATCACCGTGACCATGTTTTTGGCGCTACTGGTGATTGTGCTCTGTCTCTGGTTCTTGTACCGCCGAGGGATCAAGCGCAACGGCGGCTTCAAGTTGATGTGGCAGTGCTATCTCGACAACAGATTGAGTCTTGTGGAGAATGGCTACATCGATAAGGTTGTGAATGCCATTATCAAGAGTGGTCTTTTTGTGGGCAAAGGAGTCCGGGGGGCTTGCAAATGGCTTATCCGAGGTCTCAGCAAACCTTTCAGTTTCGTGTCAAAGCGGCAATCGCCAGTGTTAGACCACGAACGGCCTCCCGTCGAGGAAGACGTGAGGTTTTCCGGAGACGATCCTGTCACTACTGTCTACCACGATACCGCCGAAGCGTCCTCCAAAGTAAGCAAGTGAGCTTCGTATACCCTCAAATAACCAGTCAAACAACGACTAATAAACTCCGTAGACTATAATATTTAAGTCCGCGAGTTGAGCAAAAACGAACTTTTGAAGAAAACGAACTTTGCGCGCGCTAACAAAACAGGGGGCAATCTATATCCGTGAGTTGACGAAAAACTAACTTTTGAAGAAAACGAACTTCGCGCGCGCTAACAAAACAGGGGGCAATCTGCAGGACGATTTGGAAAAATGCGTGAGAATAAAACGAACTTTCAAAACGAACTTTTTGGATTTTAGTAGGGGGAAAACGAACTTTTTGGATTTTAGTAGGGGGAAAACGAACTTTTTGGATTTTAGTAGGGGAGAGTGGTGGTGGTGGACGGTGGGAGGTATACGGATAGGTCGATGCGGCTAGGCAGTCTCACCGATGTATTAGTTTACCTTTTCGTTGGAGTTTTTTATGTTTAGGCGATTGTAGGTGGTGTATCTGTGTATTTGTGTGGAGGAAAGTTCGGTTTTCTGTGTGGGCCATGATANGTTTTTTATGTTTAGGCGAGTGTAGGTGGTGTATCTGTGTATTTGTGTGGAGGAAAGTTCGGTTTTCTGTGTGGGCCATGATATGGCCATTTGCGGGAGTGTGTGCAGGAAAAAAGTTCGTTTTCAGTGCGAGTGTGTCTGGTTGGTTTGTTTTTCACATTGGCCAGGATTCTGGGAGTGTATAAGTGCAGGAAAAAAGTTCGTTTTCAGTGCGACTGATAGGCCGACTTGGTTCGTAGCCCGGGTTCGAACTGCACATTTGCAACCACAAAGACCTATGTTACATAGAGTCGCACTGAGTACAACTTTGAATATGAAGCCCAAATGTAAAAGTGGGATTTTCCGCAGGACAAAAAATGAGTAGAGTACTATGTATTATAGTAGCGTATGGTAGTGACTTTACTTTGACTAGAGTGCATTACCCGATTGGGAATGGGAGTGTCCTGGGATGCCAGGGGGAGAATATGGCTCGTGGAATGGCCTTGAGATGTAATTGTAAAAGCCAACGCAGCGCCCGTGTACGCCAGAAAGGCGTACCAACGGGGACCAGGTTACTCCCAGTGGATTCCTCGAATTAATTGAAGACTTTGGCTCGTGGAATGGCCTTGGTTGGCGAGGTGTAATTGTAAAAGCCAACGCAGCGCCTGTGTACGCCGCCAGAAAGAAATACCAACCGGGAAACTTGGCGGTGGCATTTCCAGTGAATTCCTCGAATTAATTGAGGACTTTGGAGCAGTGGAATGGCAGTTTCCAGCCGGATGGACTTGGGGTTTCCCGAAGCGGATGGCGCAGAGGACAAAATGAACGAATATACCAGCGATAGTGGCGATTCAGGGGAGCACAACGGGGTACTTTTCGGCGGGAATGGAGTTCATTTGCGTGGATGGCCGGCCATTGGAGGAGTGGGAAAGGATTTGGCGGGCGGATTGCGCTGACTAGGAAAATTCGAAGGCGCGCGCACGTTGCGGGATTAATGCACCACCACGCCGCAAAACGCGAAAAGTATTTCACGCCGTGCAGCAAACACAAACACAAGCGATGGGCGATGGCATAGCAGTGGGGGGAGGATAGAAGAGTGGGAGGGAACACAGTAAAAGCGAGGCCCGTTTCCCGCGGCAAGATGGCG